CCAGACGGACAACCGTTGCCTCGAACTTGGAATGTAGATAACCTTAAAAAATATTTCTTCTGAAAGATGTAAAGTAAAGAGCTACTTAATAAAGTTTGCACTTACTATTCAATTTTTGTATTACGAGGGGCATGCCGTCTGTACCTTTACAGTCGGCTACTCTCCATTGAGTTTTTTCACTCTATCTTCAGAGGGGCATTCCGTCTGTACCTTTACAGTCGGCTAATCTCCATTGAGTTTTTCACTCAATCTTCAGAGGGGCATGCCGTCTGTTCCTTTACAGTCGGCTACTCTCCATTGAGTATTTTACTCACAATACTTAGCTAAAAAGATTAGGGCCTGGCCGACCCTGTGCCTAACAGGCGGCTACCCTTCTTTTACTTAGCACCTACGTTCACCAAGAACTTACCAAGGCCACCGGCCGAATGATCAGACCAGGCGCCAAGCCACCTGATCAAATCTACAAAACTAATACGACCTGTCCCAACATCATAGCAGGCGTCCGACGGCATCCATCCGGATGAAATTCGTCGCAGAGAGAAGCTCCCTTTTGGGTGGAACATTGTTCTATAAACTAATTACACGGCACCTATACGAATGTCCCCAAGGGCAACCACGTAGCCGTTTTTGAGACAAGGATAACTCTATCACTAACCAAACCAGTGGTAGCAGTTGACATATGAGTCAGATAACCGCCTGTATTACTTGGGATAAATGCAGGGGGTACCTATTGAGTTAATAGCCAACAAACATTGGCGAATCAAGGGGTCTAGCCGGCCTACGCCGCCTGGTACCTCTACTACTCAATCTAGATTGTGACGAAGACTAACTCCTATGTTAACTTAATAGTCACTCAAACTTAGTATGGAGCCTAAAAGGTATGAGTCGTTCGCCTGTTCTTAATAAACAGGGGCTCTCAACCACTACTCTTGCTAGGTTAACAAATTACGAGTTAAAAGCCAACATTGGCAATAAAGGGAAACAACCGGTACCCGCCGCTTGTTATCCTACTTAATTCCTTGGCGACTAGGTAATACTATTTACTTGGTCAGACCGATTGAATAAATAGTTCGAATACCGATTGAATAAATGGCCGACTGATCGTCTATCCTGGAAACAGACAACCAGTCGTCCAGGGGCATAGGCGGCGTACTTACTAATTGTACCTGTCTGCAACGTTCGACCATACACAACAGTCGGTCTAGTGAACAATGGGATATTAGATATGGAATACTTAGACAAGTTTGAATCAAAAACAAAAATTTGATTAAAAATAAGCCGGTCATTAAAGACCAGCAAAATATTCAAAACCCCGGCCCCCTGGCCGGGTAAATACAAAGCAAACGGCACGCAGGCCGTGGAAAAAACACATTAAGCTTAAGAAGGGGGCAGTTCAGTATTAGCAGCTGCCGCCTGGTCAGCACTCTTCTTGCTGGACTCGGCTTCAGCTGCACCATCTTTTGATGCCTTACCCCCAAGTGGCACAAGCGCCACAACCGGCTGCTCCTCCTCCTCCAACGCATCTCCCAATGCCTCTTCTTCAGCAGCCGCCAGGATCTCTTGATTATATGTTTCCGAACACTGGCGGTACGTTCTTTCCCATGAGGCAAAGTCGGCACTGGGGAACAGGCGGCCCCAGGTCATGCGCTGGATTTGAGCGGAGTCTTCCACCATCTCCCGGACGAGCTCTTTCTTCTCTTGCTCGGCCTTTTCCGAGAGCTCTTGGGTAAGACTCTTCTCTTGGCTCACCAGGCGTTCTTTTACGTTGGCCAAAGATTTCTCCATGGCTTCGTAAGAGTGCATTTTTTGGCGAAGAGGTTTCAGCTCGGCCTTAAGATTTGTGACGGTCGCCTCCAGCTCGTCAATCTTCTTCTGGGCCGCCTCTAACTGAGCCCGAACAGCGGCGGTAGCCTGCGCCTGATAATAAAGAATATCAATGGTCAGTACTTCATTTTGGGCAATTTGAAACATTGCCTTATCACAGCTGGAGGCGGCCATAGCTTTTGCGGCCTTTACCTCTTTGTTTTTCCGATCAATCGGCTTGCGAAGGCTGTTGACTCGGAGCAGGGCCTAAGTACAAAAAAAAAACAACAGGCGTCAGTTTCCAAACAAAAAGATAACAGGCGTCCTGGAACTCAAATACTCAAAAATATGCTAAGTATACCTCAGCAAGGACCCCTGAAATCCCATCAAGGTCAAGGGTGCCGGCACCCCTGACCGCCTCCCTTTCAGATGGAGGAACTACTTTGACCATGGACTTGGCTACCTCAACCAAGTCAAGCCCCTGAGGGCCGGCTGCATCAAGCGAAAAAAAAAAAAAAAAAGCAAGTTAGACCTAGTCAAGAAGGAAGCAAGTGTGAAAGTTTTTACAAGTGATTGTCCATACTTCTAGGCGGCCCCGCCGGGGTTTTAGAAGAAGTGGCCGGCTGCTTCTCAGCCGCCACTGTTTTCATGGAAGACCCAGGAGAGCTTGCAACAGTCGTCCTCCGGGCCTTGGGGTCCGGCTGTTGCGAGGAAGAAGCTCTTGGAGTGCCAGACTGAAAACAAAAAGATGTCAGTATATGCATGACAACTCCTAAAAGAGGAAGAGTTTTCGAAGCCTACCAAGGGTGCCCCCTTGTTGGGGGAGTCGGCATAAGACTGTTGCATGAGAGAGGCCCGCAACATGGCCGCCGCAGTCTTGGATGCTGTTATTTTACTCATGGCGTCAGCTGCAAAAAATAAACAGCAAAGTCAGTAAAGATCCCAAGTAAACAAGGCGTGAAAAAAAAAACAGAGTATTTGTCAGGCCGGCTACCTCTAGAGCACCGACTGCTGAGGCCACAGGCGGCCAAAAAGTACTCGTCATAGAGCCACTTGAAGCTCGGGACGCAGTTTAGGGGTACTTGCTCTCGTACCCCAGAAGTAGAGTTCACCCTAGTCTCTACTTTGAAGAGTCCTCTGTCTAGGATCTCTCTTTTAGCCTTTGGGGGAACAGGCGGCATGCTGCGGCCGCCTGCGAGAAGAGGCGGATCCCTATTCCACTTGTTAAAACGTTGGTTCAGCTCCGTGTCTGAACCTTCAATGATAAGGAAGGTGTTTCGCCAATCCTTCCATTTGTTCGCCTTACCTCTCGTCATGAGGTACCCCTATGGCTTGTTAATTGATACCAGCCGGTACCTCCCGACTTAGGGGTCCGGCTGAGATAGTTCATGTGGGCGAAAGCCTCAAAGCTTGGCTCCACCCCGTACATTTCGCACCCGGCCACATAGCCGAGTACGTTTACCCAAGAGTTGGGGGCTAACTGCCATAACCCCAAATCATACCCATCTAAAATCCGCTGAACAGCCGGATGTAATGGGAAGCGCAGTCCAGCTTTGATGGCCGCCACATAGCAGCCAAAGCAGCCGTCATCATAGCTGGTACCAGCCGGCCAGACGACAGTGTCTTCTGGATCCGGCACGAACAGTAAAAATTCCGGGCCCATTCTGTGGTTAGCAATAAAGCTCTCCACTTTGTCTTGCATGGTTGCGATCCGGCCCCGGGGTACCATGCAGTAGTAGGGGGCGTTTTCCTCTCTGAAAGAGGCGGACGGCTCCGCCCAATTGTCCCCCTTCTCAACTGCATGAGAAAGTCTCGCCTCTTGTAGGCGGCTATGTCTTTCTTCTGAGCCTGGAGAACTGTGGCCAGAAGAGCTGGACTCGGACTCGTCCTCTGACGAGTCCGAAGAGGACGACTCCTCCCCTCTCCCAGAGGGGCCCGCCTCCTCTCCCTTAGAAGGAGCAGGAGGGAAATTAGACATGTCAACGGTAAGATGGGAAGGGACCACCTTGGCCCCTCTCTCAGAACTGTCGGCTTGGCAGCCGCCTCGTTTCAATTCTACATCTGGCGCCTGGTCAGATGTTTCACTAATGAGCACCCTTTGGGAAGAGCCGTCTGAGTTTGATATCATAGCAGTCTGTTTTGTTCTGGCCATCACGTTCTGCATAGACACAGATACAGTCGGACTTTGTATAAAGGGCAAAGATGGGTCCAGAAAAGGGCAGGCGGCACTCCTAGTCCTAGATTCAGCCGTCCCCGGTGACCGGCTCATCACTAACTTAGGTCGTGTCGTGTGCTTCCGTGGTGCCATTTCAAAAAATAAAAAGAAAATTAAGAGTAAGAGAACTGAGTTACCTGAACGAGTGACGGTTGATGAAGTTCTGGAAGTCCGGTGCAGTCGGCTTGTCAGAACAGGCGGTAGGCAGAAAAGGTCCGAAATGTCAGAGCAAGTTCAGGGGTCCGAATGTTCTCGCAAAGTTCTCAAATGTGAAAATGACCGAAGTCAGCACTTCCTTATATAGGCAAGGTGAGAAGGCGAAAGGTCGCTTCCAAATTCAAAATTTGGGCGGGAAAATCTCTCGGCCGTTTGCAAGGTGACACCTGTAGCAGGCCGTCGCCTGTCACCGTGCGACACCTGTCACAGGCAACACGTGACCAGTCACGTGCCACCTGTGAGGGGCAAATGATTAGGGGATTTTTATCCACCAATCACCGTCTGACAAGTGGACCAACCAGGTTCCGCCACGTGTCCTTCACGAAGGCCAATAGGAGCCTGCCACGTGTCAATCACAGATACGTCCTCTACGGACCAATCGAGGCACGCCACGTGTCCACCCATGCCAAATGGGAAAACCGGCCATCAAGGCCCAATCCTGTCTAGAGGCCCGGTCAGCCCTAGGTTTACCCTAAACCTAGAGAGTGGCACGCTTCTCAAGGCTATAAATACTTAATTAATCCTCATTAATTAAGCAGTCAAGAAAACATCAGGCAATCCAGAGATCAAGAAATCAAGAGAAGAACAGAAACATTACGGAACACTAATAACCGGCTAATCTCGCTAACGACGCAGATTACCAACATTAAACACTCTCACCTAGAGAGATCTTATTACTTTAATTTCCGTATTAATTACTCCTTAATCAGGTACTAACTTGACCGTTGGAGGCGGAGCTCTCAGGAGTCTCCGTTATTTTGCAGGTACAGGCGTCCGGTTCCAGTCTCGGAATTGTAACTCTCCCGCAGGACATCAGAAAACCCCGAAACACCACTAATGCAACAACTAAGAGTGTGTCTGCTACACATAACACAACTGACAAAGAGAGTAGGGATGAAAGGTATACTAATGATCAATTTATATAAACAAATGTTCATTTTTATAACAGTATATTTTGTGTACAATTTATGTGCATTTTTTATTTAAAGTATTTCTTAATATTGATTTCAGCAAGCAAGAAGAAGTTCAACCAAAAGTGCAAAGCAATCCAGTAAAGAATAGTCTTGGCCAAAAGTAAGAAAACTTAAATGTTCAATTTAGATAGACTATATGTTCATTTGAAAATCAGTACAAAAAAGTTTGCTCATGGCCAATAGTAATATAAGTTATATGTTCATTTTTTTATTTACTAATCAAAATTGTAAATTCAAACATATTTTTAATGAAATATCAGAAAACCCAAAGATGATGCAAGAATAACAACATTAAAGGACAAGATGCAAGAAATACATTTAGACATAGAGAGAAACCCAAAGTATGTTTAAATTTAAATAATTGAATTAATTTAATCAATTAATGAATATATTTCAAAGTTATATAACAATATCATACATTTACAGGAAGTACAAAGAATCGACAATCAGAATTATGAGAAATCTCAAAAGAATGGAAAAGGCAAGCAAGGAAATCAGGAAAGGTAAATGATCATATTTATTGAATATTTTTGTTTAATAGTCATAAATATCAATTTTAACAATACTATTACTTTTGAAGGTGAAGCAAAAAAGAAAGAAAAAGGGCCAATAGAAGAGAAAACTGTGGAAAAAGGTAAAAATTTTAAAATGTACATTTTTATTACAAAAAATGTTCATATTGGAAAAGCATAATATTAAATATTCAATAAGATTAAAAAAATTAAATTTTAACTAAATAAATTTTAATAGAAGGACAAGAAGGAAAAAAAGGGACTGAAAAAGAGAAAAGCCCTAAAGACAAAACTGTGGAAGATGTCTTTCCAAAGACAACAAATGTAGAAGGTAATAATTTATAAATGTACATTTTTATTACATAAAATGTTCATATTGGATCTACATAATATTGAATGTTCAATAAGATTAAAAAAAATATATAAATATTAACTAATTAAATTTTCACAGAAGGACAAGAGGGAAAAAAAGAGCCTGAAAAGGAGAAAATCCCTAAAGAGAAAACAGTGGAAGATGAGTCTACAAAGACAACAGATCCAAAAGGTAAATAGTGGAAAATGTACATATTCATTATCTGAAATGTTCATTTATATTGTATATAGTAAACATTTGTCATCCAATTTAAATAAATGTTTATTTAATCTTTTATATTTGATCATTTCATATGCAGCACAAATTGCACCTGATTTTGTTCAAATTGAGGATGAAACTTATCTTCTAGATCAAGATGATGATAAAGTTTCCACAAAACTTAGTGAGGAGACAGCTCCATCATCACAAAAAAGTGATCAGTCAACCAAAATGAAAACAAGATACAAAATGGTTGCAAGGAAAAACAAAAACAAAAGCCTTGTTGTTGTGCCAAGTGGTAGAATTACAAGGAGCCAAGGTAATCATAATACTTTTCTGTTTCACAATAAATATTACACTTTCAAATATACTAACATAATTTTTTTTAAAAACAATAGATGTTCTGTTAGATGAATCTGAAAAGGGAAGCCTGAAGAAGGATGTTGAACCTGCTAAAGAAACCGCAAAAATAGGACAGAAGAGAAGAATGTCTACAAGGACTTTTCCTATTCAAAAGGAAGCTGATGCACCACCTCCAGCACCTACTCCAATAAACAAAATGGCAGGTGCTCCTACTGAATATCCTCCAGACCAAGGCAAAAAGGGTAAATGTTCAATCTTAATGTATAGAATGATCATTTATGATGGTATATCATTAATGTTCAATTTCAATATATAGGTGGGAAAAAGAAAACTCTAGAAGAAGTGAAGAAAACTTCTAAGGTTGCTGGCAAAAGAAAAGCAGGTATATAATGATATATTATAAATGTTCAATTTCTATATATAGAATGATCATTTGAGAAAACAATTTTGTTCATTTTATCATTTGCTTACTGTACATTTTCAATACTTAAACAAAATTATATATTTAATATTCAGATGTCAGTCCTGCCAAGAGAATGCTGGAAAGAGAAAAAAAATACAAGAAGTACCATCAGATGAACCCTCTCAAGATCCTACTGGTGAAAGTTCTACTGACAGTGATGATGATAGTGAAGAGTCAGTTTATAGAGCAGAAGCAGAGCCTGTCAGTGAGGATGATTATGAGGTGGAGGAAGAGGAAGAAGTAAAGCCAAGGAAGAAACAGGCAAAGAAAGGGAATTCAGTGAAGGCAAAGGTTGAAAATGAGGAGCAAAAGATGGTACTGTATGATGAAGGAAAGATTGAAGGTAGGGGAAAAAAGAAAATGAAAACTGAAATGGTTCAAGCAATAGAAACTGATGAAGTTGAGGAAATTCAGGAAGATGAATTTGAGGAAGAGAAATCTTCAAAGAGAGGAGGACATGTGAAGTTCATTGCATGGATAAAAAAGATGACACCTACCCAAAAACAACAAGTTGTTGATATAGGGTTAGGATCACTTCTTGACATTAGTTTACCTCAACTTGATCAAAAGTTTTGTAACTGGTTATTGGGAAGTTTTGAAGAAAATAGCCAGTGTTTTGAACTACCAAAGAATGAAAAAATAGAAATTGAGGTAGAGGATGTTAGGGTAGTTTATGGCTTGCCTACAGGAGAAATTCCAATTGTTGAGCCAAAGTCTGATAAAATTAGTGAGGAGTATGCAGAATTTCTGAAGAAATGGAGAAAATCATGGTCAGGAAAAACTCCATCAGTGAGTCAGGTATGATCAGTTTTAAATGTTCATTTTAAATACATTAAATGATCAAAAGTATAAATGTTTTGTTCATTTTGTTTGCAGATTGTGAATGGATACATAAATGATAAATTCACCAACAACAGACCACCAATTGAACATTTCATTACTAACTTTTTAGCAGTGGCTGTGAACTGCTTGATGAAATGTGTATCAAACAATCAATGCCATTTCAAATTTCTTTATTCTATGATGGACAAAGAAAACATAAAAAATTTGAACTGGTGTCAGTTTGTATATGACTCACTTATCAAATGTCATGTTGATTGGAGAAAGCAGCAAGGCAAGGGGTTCTACAAAGGCCCTCTTCAATTTCTGATGGTATATTCTTAGATACAAAATGTTCATTTAAATTTAAATAAATGCACTTTTTTTTATTGTTTATGTTCTGTTCCATGTTTTCTTTTTTCTTGTAGTTGTTCTATTTTGATAGAGTTCAGAGGTTAGACAAAAGGCCTCCAAGAACAATTCCTATCATATCTGCATGGAATAGAGACATGGTTCTTGAGAGGTTGAAGATTGAATTAGAATTGGGATTTGGGAGAGGGAAAATTCTACCAAGGATTGCTGCAGAAGTTGAAGAAAGTCCTAAGGTTATAAAATGATCACTTTTGTTAACATAAATGTTCATTTGTATAATCTGAAATGTTCAACTGCATAATTTTTAATATTCATTCATATAGGTTTTTATGGATGATTTTGTTTCCCTGGTAAAAACAACTTGTTCAAACCTGTCAAAGCTTTCTTCAAAATTGGTGAAGGCAAAGGATATCTTCCCTGGAAATGACTTGGTGAAAAAAGTTGATGAAGTTTTAGGAAAGGTGGCAGCTAGGGAACCATCAATTCTAAGCCAAGATGAAGAATTCTTTGGCAGTGAGGATTTCCTAAATGCACTTGCACAAGCTGAGAAGAATCTGATGCAAGGGTCTGAAAAGCAAACAACTGAGAAGCAAATGACTGGGAAGAAATTAACCAAAAAGGGAAAGGAAAAAGAACAAGAATATGACATCAGAAAAGCTTTCAGCTTGGGGTTGACTCCACCTTCTCCAGCCATTGGTAAATTCTAACTAAAAGAGACTATATATCCTAATTTTTATATGAAAAATTCTAAATTTGTGGTCTAAATTGTCCTAAACAGAAACAGGGCCCACCTCTTCAACACTTGGTGATATAATTGAACAACCAATAATTTCAACAAATGGTAATATGTTCATATATTTAATAATAATGTACATAAACTTAAGTAGAAATGTTCATTTCTAATTATTATGTGTAAATACTATTAACTTAGTGTATCTCCAAAATGATGATTTATAATACAGCTGGAGAAAAGGATGTGGGTAAAACTTCAGCAGCTTCAGAACAAAGAATTGAAGAATTTTCTAGAACTGGTATAATGTTCAATTAAAAAGTGTAAAATGTTCATTTACAAACAAGAAATATTCATTATTAATTGTATTTTTTTGTTAGACGCAACAACTGGTTCAAAATTTGATGCTGACACTAGGTCAGATAATGAAGGATTGCCTAGAACAGGTATAATGTTCAATTATAAATACTCAAATGTTCATTTACAAAGAAATTATATTATATCTAATTAAATTTTTTCTTAGATGCAGGATCTGGTTCAGTGGTTGATGCTGACCCTAGGTCAGATGGTGGTGAAAAAAGTGATGATCCAAAAAACACAGTTGGAGGTGGAAAACAAAACAAGGAAGATGTTTTTGAAAAAACAAAAAATGATGAAAAAGTGGAGGGGTAAAATCCTGAAGACATGTCTTACTATTAGGGTTATGTAATTAGTAAGGATAAAATATCTAGAGGGAACAATTTAACTTATGTTACTATCGTGTTGTAACTTGAAACTGGAGTTTCTCAAACTATTGTATGTGTGTACATTATTTTGTTGAATATGTAATATGAATGTGTGGTTTATGTTAAATCGATATCTTTCATTTTATGAATTGAAAATGATTCAGGGTGTTACATAAGAAGCTTATATTTTATTAATATGTACTGACATTGTTTGACTTTTCAGTGAAAACAAGAAGATTGTTGCTTCATCCTCAAAAGTCACAAAAAGGTACATTATTTATATTAAGTAAATGTTCAAAAATAATAATGAACATTTTCATATACCTAAATGTACATTTGTGTTATGTAATATGACCAGGAATGATGATAAGAAAAAGTCAATTGCAGAAAAGAAGAAAAAAACTGAAAAGGAAAAGGTTGAAAGGTATAATTTCAAATTTATTTATATACACTCAAATGTTCATTTATGTTCCTCATAATTTTCTTAATTTAACAATATTTTATATTGAACAACAAGACCAAAACGCGAAAAGCAAACAATTCCTCCTGCTTTCCGATCTCCTTACTTGGTGAAGTACAAGGATCTGTTTAAAGATGAGAAAGCCATGAACCAAATTGCAGTAGACTTTGCTCTTGGTGGAAAAGATGAAAGGTAATTACTTACGCTAATTAAACTTAAGGTTTAATATCTTTTATAAAAATATGTTCACATTCATATTATTAAATGTTCATAATGCAGTGCACTCTTATACTATGATGGCTTGAATCTCATCAATAGAAATGAAATGAAAACTCTTGGAGATGATGTTGAAGTGACAAATTGTGTCATAGATGGATGGGCAAGGTTTCTTAATCATAAAAAGCCGAGAAACAAGATTTATTTCTCAACAGTGCTTCATGTTAGTCTTTCTTCTTTTTTTATATTATTGATTCTATTTTCCTATGATAAATAATTGCTAAAAATTCATTTAACTTCTATATGTTTGTTTCTATTTCAACAGCACATTATGTGCACAAATAGAGTTTGTCGAGAAGGATCATCAATGAAGACAAGAATTAATGCCTTCATAGAAAGAATTGACAATGAACTGAAGTTGAATAAAATTGACAGCATTGTTGGATATAAACAGGTATTAATTCTTGTTTAATACAAATGTTCAATTACATTCAATATATTGTCCAATAACATTATATAATTTGTTCAGGTCTTCTTCCCAGTATCAACTTCTCAACATTTTTTTCTGTTGTGCGTCAATCATATAGAAGACAAAATTCATATAATTGACAATAGAAAACTACCAAAAAAGGTATCAGTCCAAGCAAAATATGAAGAACAACCAAAAATGATGGTGAGATAATATGTTCATTTATAGTTGGCTACATGATCAATTATATTTTATTAATTGTTCATGTCTTCATCACAATACAAACTTCTAAACAATTTTTACTCTTTTTTCTATCAGTTAAAAGGATTGGCAGAGTACATGAAACACCTTGGATATCAAGATGCAAAAAGAATTGAAGACTACACAGTTGTTTTGGAAAAGATGAAATGGCGTAGCAACAATGACTATACAAACTGTGGAGTTTACATTATGAAGCATATGGAAACCTTCACTGCTGATCCTAATGAGAGCTGGATTTGTGATTTAAAACCAAACAATGTAAGAGTTATAAATGATCAATTATTTAAGATATAATATTCATTTATGAAACAGTAAAGATTGTTTAATTAAAATTTGACAATTCATTTTGTTCAACAGGTGGAACAAATTAGAAATCTAAGGCTCCAATACACAGCAGAACTGATGTTATTTGAAGAAAACACTGAATCAAGAGCAAATAGAAGGAAAGCTAGAAAATTTGCAACTTTGTAGTTTCAAATGTTCATTTACAACTATGTATATGTTCATTTCTTATATATGACTATTTTTTTTTTAAGAAATAGACTTATGGATTTTATTTTAATATTATTGTAATTGATATTTCATTTTAATCTTTGAATGAAAGTTTTTTATATTTTATTTTAATATTATTGTAATTGATATTTCATTTTAATCTTAAAAAAAGTTTTTTATAAGTTTTATAAATTGGATGTTGGTTCTTACTTTTGTTCATATACAAATGACTAAATAATCATTGATAAATGTAGAATTTTAAAACATATAAAATTCTAATGACTAAATAATTTCAACCTCTTTAACAATTTCACTTTGCCTTGTTACACTGCTTCTCCAAGGTACTCTTAGGCCTTACATTCCTCTCACCTTTAGGCCTAGCTTTTGGAAGATTCTTGATCTCAAGATCAACAATTTCAACCTCTTTAACAATTTCACTAAAGTCAATTACACCTGATACACTCTCAACCTTTTCTTTTAACAGATTGAAATAACACTCAACCTCTGCCCTTGCATTCAAAGAATTCTGACAACTTGTTATCAACTTAACAAACTTTCTGATTGTTTGTGACCTCCAAACACTAGTAGCCACAACATTTGTCCTCAAAGTAGGTTCTTCAATACCATGACTACACATGGCAGCCTTTGTCCATCGTTTCATTATATACTCTTGTGGAATATTACGCACACAATGCAAATGATATACTCGAAGAGAATGAGAACAAAGTAAACCAGTCTCACTAAAGTACATGCATGTGCAACAAATTGCATGTGTTTCCTTATTAAAAACAACTTCATGCTTAATTATATCCTTCCCAGGCCTCCAAAGAAGATATGAATATTCTGGAAAACGCAAACCATTATCAACATGATCATAAGCTGTCCCCCTAATGAACTCCTCTTCAAAAAGCACATAAGCTTGAATAGTGTACAATGATCTTGCATGAACTAATATACCAATATTAGCAAAAGCTAGGTGCCTATTACCCCTCAGAGTATTGTAATCTCTTGCACCTTCCTTACTTCTCCACTCAGAAATGACATCAAGAAAAACATGATAAAAATCACATAAACCTTGAGTCTTATTAAGACGTTGTGAAACTGACTTATTAATAGTTTCACTACGTTGAGAAGACAATATACCACCATACCAATACTTCTTAGAATAAGCAGGACACCACATTTCCTTTATTTTATACAAATCACATAACCAATCATCATTTTCACATTTGTATTTATCACACATCCTGTATAACAGAAATGATCATATATTAATTTAAAAATGAACAAAATATAAATTAAAATATGTACATTTGTATAAAGAATAATGATCATAAACAATATGGACACTAATAATATTATGATAACATACATAACAAAGTAAATTGTATGATCATATGTAAAACACTAAATGTTCATATATATATCACATAATAATCAAATATATCACATAATAAAAATAAAAAATAAATACAAAAAACAATAATTTACCTTTTCCAGAAATATTCAAATTCAGCAGGAGTTTCACAATACTTCAAAAGACATCCAAACAAATCTGTAAAGCCTTCCAAAGCTCTCAATGCTCCAATGTGTTTCTTAGAATTTTGTTCAAGATGCCATACACATAAACGATGATGAACAGTTGAAGGAAAAATGTTTCTTATACCCGCTGCAATCGCTTGTGCTTGATCAGTCATAATTGTAATGAGACTTTTCCTCCCCATTGAGTGCAAAAATGTATCAAACAACCAATCAAAAGACTCGGTGCGCTCATTAAGAATAAAACCCATACCAAACATGACATTGTTACCATGATGGTTCATCCCAACAAATGGAGCACATATCATTCCATATTTATTAGTTCTATAAGTTGTATCAAAAACCAACAAATCTCCAAAGTAATGATAATCTCTCATCATCCTACCATCACGCCAAAAAAAAACTAACTAAAGCACCACTATCATCTTGTTCAAAATCATAATAAAAATCTGCCTCATCCACATGTCTCTTGGCAAAATATTTAATCAATTGGTTACTATCACATCCTTCAATTTGGGCAGCTTTTTCAGATGACAATGCATTATAAGCATCAGAAGCAGTAAAACAAAGATTAGGAGATCCCCAACCTCCTTCTTTAGAACCCTCAAAGAATCAGTAACTTTGACTCCACTCAATTTCATTGTTGAAATGAAAAGAAGCTGCTCTTTATTCACATCTCTTTGAGACCTTATCAAATGCCTTTTTTCAGGAGGAATCATAGCATGATTATGAACCATTTCATGTCTTGTACATGTATAGACCCCTAAATGATCAATATGAAACTGCACAAAAGCTAAACAACCAGTTCGATGATCCAACTTCTCATAAATCCTTTTATTCTTACACTTATTATCTTTGAATCCCTCATTACAACAAACAAATCTTTTCATAAAAAAAGAATCATCTCTTCTTCTCTTACTCTTCCCAATTCGAATTCCAAAACCTTTCAAAAGCATATTCATTATACGCTTCGAAAGCTTCATCTTCAGATTTAAATTCTTTATCCTTTAATTCAGACTGTTCTGCTTCTAAATACATAATATCATCATTTTTTTCCACTGCACAATATACAATCATAAATGATCATAAAGAGTTTCATGAATGAACAATAACAAATAAGTAAAATGTTCAATATCAAAACAGCACATGATCAATTGCAAAAAGAATTTCAGCACATAATATTTTGAACAATATTTTCATTATTTACCACTACACATAATATCGATATAAAAATGTAAAAATAAATGATCAAAAATGACTTTAAGACTGAACATAAACACATTAGTAAGTATGAATAAGAAAACATAAACGATTAATTGAAAGTATAATCTATAAAATATACGACAAAAACACACAATTCTAAAACACAGAGAAAACAACAAATGAAACAACAAATGAAGCAACAAAATGTTCATACAAAGTATAACAATCCAAAAACGTTCATCATAATGTAATCAAAGTAGTAAATTCAAAAATCGAAAGTGAATAATAATACATCAATTAAGTTCAAATTAACAGAGCATTATAACAGAACAAATTAGAGATAATTAAAAATTGCAAAATTATGATCACAATTACTCACATTGTTGCACAAACGAATCAACCAAACGAACTCCAGAAGGAAACACACGCTTGCAATCACGATCAAAATCAACGCAATCTCCAGATGCAGAATTCGCCATTGATGATCGGTAACAATTAACGAGTTCGTTCAATCAAATGAAGAAGATGAATTAGCGAGAGAAAAATGTAGATAAAAAATGGAGGTTGATCAATTGAAGAGAGAGAAAAAATAGGGTTTAAAATCATATATATACATAAATTGAATAATAAGAAACAAAGAAAAAAGGAAAAAAGAGGAAGAAAAGAAAAAAAGAAAAAAAGGAAAAAAAAAAAAAAGGAAAGAATCGCAAAAGGAAAGAAGCTGCACATGAGAACTCAATACCAACTACAAAACGACGTAGCATAGGGGGGGTGTAGGGAACACACCCTACACTAGGGTGTAGGGTAAAATTTTCAAACAAGAGCAACTTTTATTATTTGTTGAATTGCGTTGTAAAACCCACAGCCCCAATCGCTTCAATTGTAAATTCTTGTACAATTTTGACAGAAGTCAGGCAGGAGTAGTGTAATTCTTAGCTTGTAGAATTATGACATAAGTCGTTGTATTATATGGTACGCAACAAAGTAATTTGAAATTCATATCATCACTTAGAATAAGGGCCGGGCCGGGGTTACATCTCATATAGTATATAGTTTTGTATAGATGTAGGCTTAAGAATTCCTATTACCAAAGTATGGATTATTATTATATCTAATGATTAAGGAACCTCAAATCTAAGTCCTTAATCATCAATACAAGAGTACATGCATTGCTTTTCTTTTTATTTGATACAATAATCAAAGTAAGGTAAAATTTTATTTTTATTTTAATTTTTTGCTCAGACTAAGCTACTAGTCAAGCATTTGGCGTCTGCTTGCTGGACTGCATCATAGCTCCATCAGCATCAGCAAATGAAATAAGCTTATTCGCTCATAATCGGTTTAAACAAAGATTGAGCTCGATCTCCACCTGCATAGAAAATTCCCAATTGTAAATACCGGCACAAATTTGTTTCTTATGGGGGCATTTTCGTGAATATAATAAAAGCAAAAAGTGGTAAGTAGTTACCGGTAGTAGAAGCCCAAAGGACTTCAGGATCAATAAGAGTGAGACGATCATCATGAAGTCGCTTCCAGGTAACAATGGACTTAACAGGACCCCAATCACCATCTTCGGTTTTATCCAACTTAACATTGATCACCCTTGCCCTTCTGGCCCAACCAGCTAAGCCATATCCATGGTACCCGAATCCAGCTCCGTAACATAGCTGTATGTCACGAAGCTTACCACAATAGTCGTTGATATGTCCATGTCCTACAAAAGCAGCCTTAATATCCCCTGCTGCAAGCATTGTGTCATAGAACCCCGAATTGACGCCGGGGCAATACACATCCTCCTGTTTTTCACCCACCATATTGGACTCGGTAATGTTGCTGTATTCGGGTATAGGAATGTGGAAGAACACCAACCCTGGAGCGGGTCCTTGTTGTGCTTCGGGTGGGCTCGTGTAAGCTTGTTGGAGTTGTTTGGAGGTGCGAAGGAACCAAGATTGCTGAGATGGATGGATCCACTCATATCCCATGTAAAAATTGGGAGGGAGGCTGTAAGTGAATTCACCGGAATCAAGGAGGTAAAGGTTAAGGACAGACTTGTTTTGGAGAGGGGAATCTTGGACACCGGCGACCTCCAAGTTGTAATTACCCCATCCCCAAATCGACTCGTCTTGTTCGAGATTGGATGGATTGAGAAGGGATAGAGTGTTTTTCAATCCAACTATGTATTCCATGACTGCTTTTCTTGGAGTTCCGGTTACAAGTGTATTCACGTCGTGGTTACCTAGTACAGCAATCCATGGGATATTCGACTCGATTGCTGCTGCAAATGCTTCATCCATTGATCTGTTATAGTTATACGCATCTACTGAATGGACGTTGTCTCCTGCATATATATTCAAATTATCGGATTATTGCTACAATAAGTTACAAAACTGTACACTTGACACGTACCCGAGTTGGACATAGACTACAATTGTATGCCCAATAGATTGAATAGATACGTACCAGTGAAAACGATGAGATCAGGATTCTCGGTATGGATGAAACGACGGAGATAATGAGTGGTGTTGAGATCAGAGCAGGTTTCCATTTGAGATGGCAAGACATCTCTACAAGCAGTGTCCTTGCCATTAGCGTAGTGCATATCTGAGATTTGCAATATTTTGAATTCTCCATTTTTGTTGAACCTTAACAACTTGTCCTTGTTTTCAACTTTTATATTTGTGTTGAATGAGCTTGCATTTTGGAGCATCAATGCAAAAACTCCCACTATGAGTAAACCCAAAAAACCCATTTTTTTTACTTCTTTTATTTTTTTAGTAATAATCCCACTTAAAGACTAATTGTAGTACCCAAGCGTATACTATACTTTATATCTGTCGCCTGCATTCATAATTAATTAATTAATTAATACAGTACAACATATCATTATGATCAGATCGAATTTCACACTTTTCAACTTGAATATCTTTGAGTTCATTTCCCAATAAAAATTAATCCATACTATGTACGGAGTATCAATTTCTATATATATATATATTTTTTTTTTTTGAAAGAATAAATCATGTATATATAGATAACATACCAGTGAAAAGAATAAGGTCAGGCTTCTCAACGTCGATGAAACGGCGGAGATAATGAGTAGTGTTGAGATCAGAGCAGGATTCCATTTGAGATGGCAAGACATCCCTACAAGGAGTGTCCTTGCCATTGGCGTAGTGCATGTCTGAGATTTGCAATATCTTGAATTCTCCATTTTTGTTGAATCTTAACAACTTGTCCTTGTTTTCAACTTTTATATTTGTGTCGAATGAGGTCGCAGTATTTTTGGGCATCAACAAGAACACTCCCACTATAACTAAACCCAGAAAACCCAATTCTTTTAGTAAACTTGAAGTCATCCCTAATTTTGTGTATGTAGTTTCTTATTAAACCGAACCTGTGTCTGTTGTTGCATATATTTGGACTTACTTGGTACTAAAATAATAATACGGAGTAGATCTTTGTACTTTTGTAGGGTATTTTTTATACAACGTATAATGTAATGATTCTTGTTTGCCACATGATGCTCGCTTATACGTAGTATCCTTGGCCCTCGTGCACCACATGCCACATAGTATGTATACCGTATACGTGATACCTTTACTTATTCCTGAAACGAAATTTTTAATAAAATTTAAAGATGTTACACACACATATTTGAGATATATTGTGTGTGTTTTTTTTTTTTTCAAAACAATCCCACATTTGACCCCCATCTTCACAAAATGATCCTTTTACCGGTTTGTGAAATTGGTAACTTATTTTAGAAGGTGACTTGCCATGTGTCACCTTTTGATTGGTACAATTTTAATTTTTGCTAATTAAAAAAAAAACTCCCCACCACCGTCCACCGCATCACACACCACTTCACCACCCCTCCCTTTTCCTGGTTTCGTGGGTGAGATCGGGGTTCGTGGGCGGCGGTATTTCGGGGTGGTTTGGGTTTTGTGGGTGGTCGGGGTTCGTGGGCGATCGGGGTTCGTGGGTGGTTTGGGTTTCGTGGGTTAGTCGGGATTCCGGGGTTGGTGGGTTTTGTGGGTTGGTTGGGATTTCAGGATTGGTGGGTTTCGTGGGTGAGATCGGCGGGGGTGGTTTGGGTTTCGTGGGTGGTGAGAGTTTGTGGTGGCTGGGGTTCGTGGGTGGTCGGGATTCGTAGGTGGTGGGGATTCGGGGGTGGTGGGATTCGTGGGTGGTCGGGATTCGGGGGTGGTGGGAGTTTGTGGTGGCTGGAATTCGTGGGCGGTGGTATTTCGGGATGGATGAGGTGGTTGGTGTTAGGGGGGTTTTGTGGGTAAATGGCGATGGTCGGGGCTAGGGGAGAGAAAGAAGGTGATTAGGTTAGGTGGTGATGTGGTGGGGTGATTTGGTGATGTGGTGGTGGTTATGGTGGATAGCTAAGGTGGGAGATAAGAGATTGAAAAAAAAAAAAAAAAAAAAAAAGTTAACCTGTTAAACAAGTTGTGGGTTAAAAGGCTCATTTTGAGAAAATGAGGGTTAAAGGTAGGATTATTTTGGGAATTAAAAAAGATGAGATTGTTTTGAACAGAATTGGCAAAGGTGGGATTATTAGTTTCTATTTTTCTTTTAATTTACAAACAATCACATGATGACACATGTCACTCTAACCAATTATAACAAGTTAGTAATCGGTTTGGGCCTGTTTTAAGCAAATACACCGTAAAGTTGAAATTATTTAAAGCGAATACGTGGAAGTTGAGATTATTTTTAACAAGTCTTCCAATAACCAATTTTTTTTTTTTTTTTTTTAAGGGACAAATTTGTGACATAACTCTGTTCATTTCTTTTGGTATACTTTATCCGGAATTATTAACAGCTAGTATATGTAAGATATTTATTACAGATTTACAGTAGATGAATTGTTTGAGTTATATTGATATTCTTGACCAATAACTATAGCCTACAAATTAAAGAACATAAAACTCTACCATACTTATGAAAACTTTTCTGTGCTTAAATATTTACTTCAAAAGTTCAAATTGTTAATTTAATGGCTAGTTAACTTTTAGTTAATTAGTTTGTGTTAGTGAAATTATAATAGTAGTGGCTGGGTTTAGTGGGTTAATGTTAGGCATGATGTAGATAGATGATTATAACCTTATGAAATCATGTTTCCTCGTGGAATGCTAAACATCGCCCGCAAATCTCCACATAAAGCCCACAAACTTATATTGAAGTTACAATATTGCCCTTGACCTTAAAAAAAAAAACACGTCATTAAAAATCAAAGTACGGGGATGTCGAGGCTCGTGGCGGCAAGGTGGTTGGCTTGTGGCGGCAAGGTAGTGGTGGCTCGTGGCGGCAAGGTGGTGGTGGCGCCAGGTCCGGCAGCCACGTCCACCGGCCTGGCGTCTGGGCAGGACGCCCAGCCACGGTGAGTGGCGTTTGGGACAGGCGCCAGTCACTGTGGCTGGGCGTCCTGCCCAGACGCCAGGCCGGTGGACGTGGCTGCCGGACCTGGCGCCACCACCAGCCATGGGCCGTCCTGGCCAGGCGCCCCAGCTGCCTTAAATTTTTTTTTTTTTAATTTTTTTTTTTTTTTTTTTTTTTTTTTGGAAAATCAGAAAAATTTTCTATTTTTTTTTTAATGTGTTTGATTTTTTTTTTATAATAATTATTAATTTTATGTGTTATTTTTTATAAGTCTAGTATATATATTTTTTATAAAATCAAATAAAAACATAAATTTCCACATCCTAAATCAAAACATAAATTTAATAAACATAATTTAAAAAAATAAAAAAAAAAAGGCAAAAAAAAATAAATTAAAAAGTAAGGGCGGCGTCCAAACCAGACGCCAGTGCACTGGTTGAGGCGCCTGGGCTAGACGCCAGTGCACTGGTTGTGGCGTCTGGCCTGGACGCCAGTGCACTGGTTGTGGCGCCTTGCCTGGACGTCCTTGCCATGGTTCCGGCGTCCAAACTAGGCGCCACCTCGTTTTCCGTCGAAGACGACGTATCTCCGGCGACCCTCGCCTCTCCGGCCTCCCTGGGCAACCCAGTACGACTCCACATTTGTTAGATCGAGATTTGTTCACTTTGGGTACGATTTTAGAAATGGGCAAAATTGTCAAACCATGTCTAATTTGTGGGCTTTATGTGGAGATTTGCGGGCGATGTTTAACAAATCCCTTCCCCTCTCCCTACTCCCATCTCTTTTATTTATAATCAGCAAGTTTTGTGTGTGGTTGGTCACACGGTGTGACTAGCTAACAAACAAGTAACCCTTGATTCTCTTAGTAATCCCTGACTAAGTAACCCTTCAAACCTAGTAACCCCTGATCATACTAGTTACTCCTAAATTATTTTTACTGAGCTTAAATTAATTTTAATGAACTGAAATTACCTTTACTGAACTGAATTTATTTTTACTAAACTGAAATTAAATTTGCTTAATATTATTTTTTTAAGGTGAAGTTAACAGGGCCTAAATATTAATTATCAAACACACTAAAAAAAGAGGTAAATCAATAGTCATTGACTGCATCAGTGTCAAAATCTTTTGAGGAATCATAAATGACAAGTACGGAGTAATTACGAGCTAATCTCGTCTCAGATATAATCTACAGTCGCCGTTCCTCGAGGAACACGAGCACCCAGTTTCCAGTCTTTCCACCCTTATACAAAATACGTAGTAAGTCATTCCATTACAAATAACGGGTCCAAGTCAGGTAATATCTATAGAATACACTATATTTTTAGTATTTAAAAACACTAACCATCATCTTCAACATGCCACATGTACATTTTATTTTTCATCAATGCCACATGTTACCTCATTTAACCTTTTTTTCAATCCCCTTTCTCATATTAAAAAAAAAAAAAAAAAAAAAAAAACCTTCATATAATTAATTCAAAACATGTATGAATGTTACTTGGTTCACTTTTTCCCAAATTAATTTCTTCTACAATTACATTTAATTTTTTTCTCCTTTTTAAACTATTCATTTTCCAATAAAAATTTACAAGTATATTATATACCTATAAATAACTCGTGCATTGCACAGGCCATAAGGCTAGTTAATAGAAATAATTTTACCATTGATAAGGAAAAAGTAAAGTGCAGATTATACGATTTAAAATGTACATGGAGTATCTAATTTCGTCAATTTATCTATTTTACTAGAAATTATCTTTTTAAATAGTGTTTCAAGAAAGTGTCTTACAAGTAAAAAAAGTACTACGACTATTTATGAAATTATGAGTGCGTAGTCCATCTCATTATCTAAGGCCATGTTTGGTAATTGGCTTTTTAATGGCTTTTTGGTTAGCTTTTAGCTTTTGGCTTTTTTAGGTGGTCAAACAGCCAAAAAATGCGTTTGGTAATTAGCTTTTTAGTCAGCGAAAAAACTGGCTTTTAAGACAAAATGAAAAAGCTGCTTTGAGTAGCTTTTTTGTTGGCTTTTGGCTTGTTGGTTCACAAATTATCTAATAAACAGCCAACAACCAACAATTAATTTACCAAACACTTTTATAAACAGCTAGCTTAAACAGCCAATTTTAAAAGTCATTATAAACAGCTAAACATTCCAGCTAGTCAAACAAGCCAAGTGAACCAGCCAACAGACATTTGTCAAACAAGGCCTAAAACTAAACACATCCTTAGGGGAAAAAAAAACAGAGTACATTACTCTGAATTGGAGATAGTACAGACTACAGAGTACTCCATAGAATTGAATGAAAAAGTTACTTTTAAGTAGTTTTTTTTTATTAAACTGTCCTAGTGTAGCAGGTCCTCGAGGAACACGAGCGGAGAGTTGCGTGCCCATCCTTGTTCACTTTCTTTCGAGTACAAATAGCATGCTCAAAATTGAAATAAATAAATTAAAAAAATAGTTGGTGGAGTATTAAAAATGGATTCAAATGCACGCAAAAAAAGCAGTTTAACAGCATACTTTATCCCCTACTTAACACCAAGTCACTACTTACCTCTCTTTCAAATTGCTAAGTTATTTGCATCTCGCGGGGTGCATGTTATTTTCCTTACTACTTATCACAATTCCCTCTCTTTTCGCGATTCCATCCCCTCTCTCAACCAATTAGGATTACACATCGACCTTGAGTATGTCGACTTCCCTAGCAAGGAAGTCGGCTTGCCCGAGGGGATTGAGAGCTTCAGTGCCGCTACTAACACCGATATGGCCGGTAGAGTCCTCCAAGCATTTTTCATGCTTCAAGCTCCCATTGAGGCTATGGTCCGGGCTGCTAAGCCTGACTGCATTGTCGCTGATACTCACTGTTTTTGGACCACTGCTCTCGCGGAAGACCTTGGTATCCCTCGTTTGGTACATCATGGTCAAGCTGCTTTTTCCCTCGCAGCTATTGATGCCTTTGATAGGTATGTTAGCAACAGCTAACTAAAGTAGCTAGCTATTCATTTTAACACATTTTAATTTTTTGGAGGTCCTAGTTTAATTATTTAATTATTGTCTATTAACAATGTATGTATCTATGTATGTCGTATGTATGTGTAGGTATACTCCTTATGAGAATGTGAAATCTGATGACGAACCCTTCCTATTGCCGGGACTCCCACATCCAATCTACATGACCCGTTCAGAACATCCGCCATGGATCCAAAGTTCAAATTTCTACACCACATTCTTGAACAAAATTAAAGAGGCAGATGGCAACTCTTACGGTCTTCTTGTTGATACCTTCTATGAGTTGGAGAAAGACTACATAGATTTCTACAGGACCACTTTGGACTGTCGTACCTGGTGTATTGGCCCTATTTTCCTACACCATGACCATGCTCTACACAAAATCAACTCCAAGGACAAGCTCAACCACGACAATAACAAATCGGATGAGAACAACCCAAGCAAACACCCTTGTTTGGAGTGGCTCGATAAAATGCCACGTGGAAAAGTTGTGTACGTTAGTTTTGGAAGTTTATCAAGGTTTAGCTCAGCTCAACTATTGGAGATTGCTCATGCACTTGAATCTTCGGGTCACCCATTTATATGGGTGGTCCGAAAGAAGGAGTCAGAGGAAGTAGGGGTGAAATGGTTACCCGAGGGATTTGAAGAAAGGATATCTCAGAAAAGTATTGGGATGCTTATAGAAGGATGGGCACCCCAACCACAGATATTAGAGCACCCTGCCATTGGTGGGTTCGTGACACACTGTGGGTGGAACTCTTCGGAAGAGTCCCTCGCTGCAGGGCTACCAGTCGTGGCTTGGCCTCTCTCTGCTGAACAATTCTACAATAGAAAGTTGTTTATTGATGTATTAAAGATTGGAGTTGGGGTTGGAAATATGAAGTGGAGCTCCATGATTGATGGAACGGATGAGTTAGTGAAGAGAGATAAGATTGAGAATGCTGTGAGGGAGATGATGGGTGATCATGTGGAGGCTCAGGAAAGGAGGCAGCGCGCCAAGGAGTTTGGCATCGCTGCTAAGAAGGCTGTTCAACAAGGTGGTTCATCTTATGATAGTTTAACTGCTGTCATTGATGAACTACACCGTCTCAAAAATTCATCAAAAGTTGCTGCATGATTAATATTAGATGGATTTTAGTCAATAAGTGTGATGTTAGATGTTTTGTTTGGGCATTAATAAGTGGTATATTTAGGGTAGCATCATTTTTCTATTTTACTAGTCTATCTACGGAGTACTAATTAACAAGGAAATAATGATTACATTGATGAATTAAAAATAACTGATTGTTTAGTTGGGATTAAATTTCAGGAATAGTAGTAATGAAGAGAAAATGAATGACAATAGCCGCACTATAGTTGTAAGAGAGCAAATGAGAAGAGAGGTGTTCGGAAGAAGAAAGAAGAATGGAGAAAGAGGAGCAAAAAAGAGGTGGTTGATTGCAAAGCTATAACGTTGCAAAGTTTATTTATTTTTATTATTATTATTATTATTATTGTGATTTAGCTATCTTTATGTCTCACCTACCGTCATCTTTATTCTTTCTTATAACAAACTTTTAATTTCTTGTAAAACACTATTATTAGAGCATAAGCTGCGCGAGGATCTTATTAATCAATAATGCGATTGCACCAAACAAAATAAAGATTGAACATGGGAAAAAAAAGAGATGAAGTATTAAGAGATGTACAACACATTATTAATTAGAACCTGTTCTCTTTAGTAAGTTTTTTAATTAGTAGGTGAGATTGTGAGATTCTTCCTCATGTGTGACTGATTAGATATACGTCTGATTGATGAAAATAAGAGAATGACAAGTTGTTCATTTGCACCCATTAAACAAATTTGATTAGATTGTATTGTTATGTATCATGTCACTTACCCACTTTAGAAGATCCACATGCCTCCTAAGAATGTTATTTTCTTTTCCTTGACATGATGTTTTTTTTGTTTTCATTTTTCCTAATAAACCCCCTGCTTATAATTCTTTTGTGTGTAAACAAATTGTAATTAATATCATAGCTTTGAAAATGGAAATTGTTAAACAGAGTTAATTAAGGTGCAATGGTGATTGGGACTACACTTGATAGTGAGGACTTGTATTCGATCCCCCGCAACAATAATCGGGAGGGGACTGGAACCTAACCACTCAATACTGATCCCCGAATCCGAATTAGCTCAAAGGGAGAACCGGGTGGAACACCAAAAAAAAACAATGCAAGTGAGAGGGACAAGGGCAGGGCAGCAGTGAAAATGAAGTAGCTAAGTGGTGGGGTGAGCGGTAGTGATTGAAAACCTGAGTGAATTTAGGTTGAGGTGTGTATATATCATACGTACTTGCAATCATGAAATTGGAATGAAAATTTGAGTGATCAACAATTAGGTCAAACCGTCAAAGTCATAGAGTAATCAAATAAGTAGTCCTAAGAAAATTTGAAAGTCACAAATAAACCAAATCAATGATATGATTAATAAATAATGAATGAAGGAGCCATGAAGTTTCCCTGAATATTTCCTTCCTCTTTCCTTAATTATTAAAACATTTAAGGAAATATATAAAAGTGTTTCGTTCAGCAATAATTCAGATTTCAGACCAACCATTCAAAGTATTGGTCTCATCATTTTTTAATCTCTCTTTCTCGATCTGTGTTTATTATTTAAGAGTGGAATTAATAATTAGAAATTTTTATTAAAAAATGGCAGGGATGCTACCAGGAGTAGAAGCAGCAAGAAGAAGGAGAGTTCATCAAAGCAGTAGCATTAATAATAGCAATTGTTCATCTCCTTCCTCGAGACGCCTTTCTTTCTCTCTCTTCTCCACAAATACCTCTACTTTCTTGGTAAGTTATTGGTTTTTTATAAAGTATGTATGTATGATCGAATGAATGATTAAATTAAAGGGTTATATCTTATATGTGTCTCTGTACTGTACAGGGGCATACGACAAGGAGCAGAACATCCTATGAAGATGATGATGAACACGAAGATGATCCAAAGTTAGGAGCTTTGGCTAGAGAAGCCAAGGTCAGACTTGATGCCAAACTCAGATCAACACCCTTCAAATCTACCAGGTTACTCCATTCTACTTTTATTTTCATTTACTTTTTATTAATTCATTGAAATTGTTTGTTAATATAAATAATACTCCTAATTTCAGGAATAATAACTGTGAAGAGAGAATAGGAAGATTCCAGAACAATGAAAATGAAGTGACAAGAAAGAAAAAGAAGAAGAATGGAAAGTTTAGTTGGAACTGGAAATCAGGGGATCAATTACAAGATAAAGAATGTGCAGTATGCTTGGATGAAATGAAAGAGGGTGATGACATCATGAATTTAGAATGCAACCATAGTTTTCATTCAAAATGTTTGATGCCTTGGCTTCAAACCAATGCCCACTGCCCCTGTTGCAGGTTCAGGATCCAACACCTTTAAACTTCATTTTTGTCACTCTTTCTATCGGCTTGCTTATTACCAACTAGTATGTAATGTAAATACAAGATTGGTGTTAATTTTTAGTTTTTTCAGGCCACTTGCCAACCCAAATCATGTGATTCAGCTACCTCTATTCTCATCTACCCTCGCTTGTTTTTATTATAAATAAGTGTTGCGGTTATTATAAAAATGGAGAGAGTTAACCTCCTTATTCTCACCTACCCTCGCTTGTTTTTATTATAAATAAGTGTTGCGGCTATTATAAAAATGGAGAGAGTAACCTCCTTATTCTCACCTACCCTCGTTTGTTTTTATTGTTAATAAGTGTTGCGGTTATTATAAAAATGGAGAGAGTAACCACTTAGTACAAGTTTTTATTTCAGTTTTTATTAACCACTTAGATTGACACCCCTCATCCTACAGGCTATAGCTAGAAGGTGGCAATGGATCAGAAAATCATGATCAACAATCAGGACCTCTTCTCAACTAATCAAAATTTCCATCCATCACTTTGAGCAGATAAGGCATGTTGCTTTAGAACTTCAATTAACATCAGGACACAAAAAAAAAAAAAAAAGGAAAAAGAAAAAAAATCTTACTCCACTATTTTCAAGCATCTAGCAGGGAAGATCAGAATCCAATAGCCACTAGGACTGCCATATCAGTCTTTCCAATGCATTAGAAATTTTGGCGTTAATATCAATTTAAGTTGTCAAAGTACGGGAATGCTGCTACAAAATTAAACACATAGCAATCGACATATCGTAAAAAGAAGAAGTTAACAATGTACCTTGAGCCTGAATAATCTGGGAGAGTTTACTAGAAAGAGTGGAGGCACGCCTACTATCACGAGTAGCACCCCTCCAAAGCCATGGCATCATCATCATAATCAGTCATTTGCACACTCTCTGAGCTCACTGCCTGATCCTGCCATAGAACAATTCTCACATCATTACCCTTAACTTCTAAAATTAAAATGCAGACATGAGAAGACGCCGCTAGAAGAGATAGAAACAAGAAAAATTCTACCTGGTCTTTTATCATTCTAAGAATTTTCTGATTAACCTCCACAGATTGCTTCTGAACTGGATCAGCAGCTTCTCTTAACTGCACATACAGCATAGATATCGGAGACATTAGAACAAATGAAATCAATCAAGTTGAGGAATTAAGTTTAAGATAGAGATCACCTTAGATGGTTTATATTTCTCAGTTGATGACCCTGTGAGCTCATCAAGTTTAGCAAAAAGATCAGATTCTGAGCACTTGCAATATCACTTGTTTGGACCAACAAGGGCATCTGGAACATACATGCACATCAAATTCTTTCATCTAACCAAGAGCAAATTAGAAATTCAAATATGAACATAGACGAGAGCTAGATTTCAGAGCACAAATAAAAAGATGGAACAGATAATTGACACTTAGCAGTTACACTAGGCAAAAGGCATGATGTAGTTACTCTAGGCAACATAAACATAACCAAAATGTTGGTCAAGATTTTAGTATAACAATTAGCAAGAAAAATAGAATCCATAAAAGGGTCAACTAATAAATTGATGGTATATCATAGTTGAATCCTAATATTAAAGGGTTGTGACATACATTATCAAACAAATTAGGTTCAATTATCACATAATTTTAGGGAACCCTGCACTCAATTAAATAAAATTAGATGAAATTGTGAAATTGATATGATGAATACTAAAAGAAACAACAACTTACCTCGAACAAATCGTTAGTAATGGAGGATGTCAAGTGCGATGTTGTTGAGTGCGCGCGCTTCAATGGAGAAGGAGAGGAGAAAGAGGACAGAGGAAGTAATTGGTATACACTAGACCCTAGTGTAGGTAGCCCAACCTACACTCCCTCTAAACGCAGCGTTTAGAGTTACTACCCACACCCCCTCCACTAACCCACAATAATTACCCACTCCCCACAATAACCGCAGTAACTGCATAACTAAAAAAAAAAAAAATCAATTTCAAATCATTCTCTCTCTCTAAACACCATCTTCTTCATTTCTCTAGAGTTTCTCTCTCATCAAACCCAACAAATCACAACAAAATCATACTCCAAAATTGCTTCAAATGTCTGATATTCGAGAAGAAATTAAACAATCACAACAAAAAGAGTAAGTAATTTCGTTAGTTTTGTTCATTTTTTGAGATTGTAGTGCAATTTTATGTGTGAAACCTTAATTTTGTTCATTTTGTTGCGATTGTAGTGCGATTTTGCAAAAAACCACTACAGAGAAGAACATGCAAGAAGAAACTGCAAAATCGGAGCAAAATGTATCTAAAGAGTAAGTAATTTTGTTCATTTTCTTTCGATGACAATTATAGTGCGATTTTATGTGTGAAACCTAATTTTTGTTCAATTTTTTGCAATTGTAGTATGATTTTGGAGAAGAATACTTCAGAGACGAGTAATTTGTTGAAAATTTCTGAAGAAATGTGTGAACCCTAACTTTTGTAAAACCTAATTTGTTCATATTCTTGCGATGAAAATTATAGAGCGAATTTATTTGTAAAACCTAATTTTTGTTAAAATTTTTTGCGATTGTAGTAATTGTTCTAAGATTTTACAGAAAATAACCAAAACATTAACAATTTATTAAATAAAACAGAGACGACGATGATGATGTACCTCTTCAGTCAAGAGTAGACAAATTGAAAAAAAACCGCCAAAATGATCCAATTGTAGATCCGGATTTTAAAAGATATTGACAAGTCAATTGGTACGGATTTAACAATGTCTCCACTACCAAGGTAATTAGTCATTTACAGAATATATTATGTTCATGTCTAATATGCTAGTTGCATTTGATAAAAATTGGTTTTATCTTTGTTTAATATGTTATTTGTATATGATCATATTTGATACTCATAATGTTCATTTATAGATATAGTTATGATCATATATTTATATTAGTTCATATGAGTATTTATTGAGATTTAAGAACAAAAGTACATTTCATTGAAACATCATTGTATATGATCATATTTGATACTCATAATGTTCATTTATAGATATAATTATGATCATATATGTATATTTGTTCATTTGAGTATTCATTGAGATTTAAATAACAAATATACATTTCATTAAATCATCATGCACATATATAAATATGATAATAATCATTTCAGTGTATGCATTCAAACTAATGTCATGTAATTAATTTATAATGTAGTGATGTGCCATTTAGAGTGATACACTTGCTTCAATTTAGAGATGGGAAATCTGAACCATTAACTCTAAAGAAGGTTATAGAACAAAATGAATATGGTAATAGTTATGAAAGATACACTTTAAACAAGTAAGTTTATATGTATAAAATAATTGTTTTTACATTCAATTAGTGTACATTGTATATATATACCAAACTTATTAGGTAATTCTTAAAATTTTAGTGAAAAAAAAAGGTTCGAGTGAAATTTGTTATGTCAAAATCAAGACCACCAAAGACAAATCAAACAATAAGGTATAAAAGCTTTATACCAAAATAACTAATTATCTTCTTCATTGTATAAATTAGTTCATACTTTAATATCATATTATATAAAATAATTCTGTTTTTTTTAAGTGAACAAAGTGAGAACATTCCTGCTACTAATGCAACAACTAAGAGTGTGTCTGCTACACATAACACAACTGACAAAGAGAGTAGGGATGAAAGGTATACTAATGATCAATTTTATATAAACAAATGTTCATTTTTATAAAAGTATATTTTGTGTACAATTTATGTGCATTTTTTATTTAAAGTATTTCTTAATATTGATTTCAGCAAGCAAAAAGAAGTTCAACCAAAAGTGCAAAGCAATCCAGTAAAGAATAGTCTTGGCCAAAAGTAAGAAAACTTAATTGTTCAATTTAGATAGACTATATGTTCATTTGAAAATCAGTACAAAAAAGTTTGCTCATGGCCAATAGTAATATAAGTTATATGTTCATTTTTTTTATTTACTAATCAAAATTGTAAATTCAAACATATTTTTAATGAAATATCAGAAAACCCAAAGATGATGCAAGAATAACAACATTAAAGGACAAGATGCAAGAAATACATTTAGACATAGAGGGAAACCCAAAGTATGTTTAAATTTAAATAATTGAATTAATTTAATAAATTAATGAATATATTTCAAAGTTATATAACAATATCATACATTTACAGGAAGTACAAAGAATCGACAATCCGAATTATGAGAAATCTCAAAAGAATGGAAAAGGCAAGCAAGGAAATCAGGAAAGGTAAATGATCATATTTATTGAATATTTTTGTTTAATAGTCATAAATATCAATTTTAACAATACTATTACTTTTGAAGGTGAAGCAAAAAAGAAAGAAAAAGGGCCAATAGAAGAGAAAACTGTGGAAAAAGGTAAAAATTTTAAAATGTACATTTTTATTACAAAAAATGTTCATATTGGAAAAGCATAATATTAAATATTCAATAAGATTAAAAAAATTAAATTTTAACTAAATAAATTTTAATAGAAGGACAAGAAGGAAAAAAAGGGACTGAAAAAGAGAAAAGCCCTAAAGACAAAACTGTGGAAGATGTCTTTCCAAAGACAACAAATGTAGAAGGTAAAAATTTATAAATGTACATTTTTATTACATAAAATGTTCATATTGGATCTACATAATATTGAATGTTCAATAAGATTAAAAAAAATATATAAATATTAACTAATTAAATTTTCACAGAAGGACAAGAGGGAAAAAAAGAGCCTGAAAAGGAGAAAATCCCTAAAGAGAAAACAGTGGAAGATGAGTCTACAAAGACAACAGATCCAAAAGGTAAATAGTGGAAAATGTACATATTCATTATCTGAAATGTTCATTTATATTGTATATAGTAAACATTTGTCATCCAATTTAAATAAATGTTTATTTAATCTTTTATATTTGATCATTTCATATGCAGCACAAATTGCACCTGATTTTGTTCAAATTGAGGATGAAACTTATCTTCTAGATCAAGATGATGATAAAGTTTCCACAAAACTTAGTGAGGAGACAGCTCCATCATCACAAAAAAGTGATCAGTCAACCAAAATGAAAACAAGATACAAAATGGTTGCAAGGAAAAACAAAAACAAAAGCCTTGTTGTTGTGCCAAGTGGTAGAATTACAAGGAGCCAAGGTAATCATAATACTTTTCTGTTTCACAATAAATATTACACTTTCAAATATACTAACATAAATTTTTTTAAAAACAATAGATGTTCTGTTAGATGAATCTGAAAAGGGAAGCCTGAAGAAGGATGTTGAACCTGCTAAAGAAACCGCAAAAATAGGACAGAAGAGAAGAATGTCTACAAGGACTTTTCCTATTCAAAAGGAAGCTGATGCACCACCTCCAGCACCTACTCCAATAAAAAAAAATGGCAGGTGCTCCTGCTGAATATCCTCCAGACCAAGGCAAAAAGGGTAAATGTTCAATCTTAATGTATAGAATGATCATTTATGATGGTATATCATTAATGTTCAATTTCAATATATAGGTGGGAAAAAGAAAACTCCAGAAGAAGTGAAGAAAACTTCTAAGGTTGCTGGCAAAAGAAAAGCAGGTATATAATGATATATTATAAATGTTCAATATCTATATATAGAATGATCATTTGAGAAAACAATTTTGTTCATTTTATCATTTGCTTATTGTACATTTTCAATACTTAAACAAAATTATATATTTAATTTTCAGATGTCAGTCCTGCCAAGAGAATGCTGGAAAGAGAAAAAAAATACAAGAAGTACCATCAGATGAACCCTCTCAAGATCCTACTTGATTAGGGGATTTTGCTCCCACCAATCGGAATGCGCCACGTGGACCAATCAGGTCCTGCCAAGTGTCCCCTAGTTGGAACTGTCAGGGCTTGCCACGTGGCACGCGCTTATTCGTCCACCTTGGACCTGTTATGTCACGACATGTGGCATACTCCATGCCTAATGGAGAAACCGGCCACCCAGGCCCAACTTCCGAGGGAAGCCCAATCGGCCCTAGGTTTACCTAAACCTAGGATGGGCACGTTTCCCAAGGTTATAAATACCTCCCTTAATCCTCATTAAGGGAGATTACGAAAAACATTACGGAACAAACACATTAATTACACACAGTAATAACCGGCTGATCTCGCTAACAAAGCAGATTACCTACATTAAACACTCTCACCTAGAGAGACCTTATTACTTTAATTTCCGCATTAATTACTCCTTAATCAGGTACTAACTTGACCGTTGGAGGCGGAGCTCACAGGAGTCTCCGTTATTTTGCAGGTACAGGCGTCCGGTTCCAGTCTCGGAATTGTAACTCTCCCGCAGGACATCAGAAAACCCCGAAACACTACTGATGAAAGTTCTACTGTCAGTGATGATGATAGTGAAGAGTCAGTTTATAGAGCAGAAGCAGAGCCTGTCAGTGAGGATGATTATGAGGTGGAGGAAGAGGAAGAAGTAAAGCCAAGGAAGAAACAGGCAAAGAAAGGGAATTCAGTGAAGGCAAAGGTTGAAAAGGAGGAGCAAAAGATGGTACTGTATGATGAAGGAAATATTGAAGGTAGGGGAAAAAAGAAAATGAAAACTGAAATGGTTCAAGCAATAGAAACTGATGAAGTTGAGGAAATTCAGGAAGATGAATTTGAGGAAGAGAAATCTTCAAAGAGAGGAGGACATGTGAAGTTCATTGCATGGATAAAAAAGATGACACCTACCCAAAAACAACAAGTTGTTGATATAGGGTTAGGATCACTTCTTGACATTAGTTTACCTCAACTTGATCAAAAGTTCTGTAACTGGTTATTGGGAAGTTTTGAAGAAAATAGCTAGTGTTTTGAACTACCAAAGAATGAAAAAATAGAAATTGAGGTAGAGGATGTTAGGGTAGTTTATGGCTTGCCTACAGGAGAAATTCCAATTGTTGAGCCAAAGTCTGATAAAATTAGTGAGGAGTATGCAGAATTTCTGAAGAAATGGAGAAAATCATGGTCAGGAAAAACTCCATCAGTGAGTCATGTATGATCAGTTTTAAATGTTCATTTTAAATACATTAAATGATCAAAAGTATAAATGTTTTGTTCATTTTGTTTGCAGATTGTGAATGGATACATAAATGATAAATTCACCAACAACAGACCACCAAGTGAACATTTCATTACTAACTTTTTAGCAGTGGCTGTGAACTGCTTGATGAAATGTGTATCAAACAATCAATGCCATTTCAAATTTCTTTATTCTATGATGGACAAAGAAAACATAAAAAATTTGAACTGGTGTCAGTTTGTATATGACTCACTTATCAAATGTCATGTTTATTGGAGAAAGCAGCAAGGCAAGGGGTTCTACAAAGGCCCTCTTCAACTTCTGATGGTATATTCTTAGATACAAAATGTTCATTTAAATTTAAATAAATGCACTTTTTTATTGTTTATGTTCTGTTCCATGTTTTCTTTTTTCTTGTAGTTGTTCTATTTTGATAGAGTTCAGAGGTTAGACAAAAGGCCTCCAAGAACAATTCCTATCATATCTGCATGGAATAGAGACATGGTTCTTGAGAGGTTGAAGATTGAATTAGAATTGGGATTTGGGAGAGGGAAAATTCTACCAAGGATTGCTGCAGAAGTTGAAGAAAGTCCTAAGGTTATAAAATGATCACTTTTGTTAACATAAATGTTCATTTGTATAATCTGAAATGTTCAACTGCATAATTTTTAATATTCATTCATATAGGTTTTTATGGATGATTTTGTTTCCCTGGTAAAAACAACTTGTTCAAACCTGTCAAAGCTTTCTTCAAAATTGGTGAAGGCAAAGGATATCTTCCCTGGAAATGACTTGGTGAAAAAAGTTGATGAAGTTTTAGGAAAGGTGGCAGCTAGGGAACCATCGATTCTAAGCCAAGATGAAGAATTCTTTGGCAGTGAGGATTTCCTAAATGCACTTGCACAAGCTGAGAAGAATCTGATGCAAGGGTCTGAAAAGAAAACAACTGAGAAGCAAATGACTGGGAAGAAATTAACCAAAAAGGGAAAGGAAAAAGAACAAGAATATGACATCAGAAAAGCTTTCAGCTTGGGGTTGACTCCACCTTCTCCAGCCATTGGTAAATTCTAACTAAAAGAGACTATATATCCTAATTTTTATATGAAAAATTCTAAATTTGTGGTCTAAATTGTCCTAAACAGAAACAGGGCCCACCTCTTCAACACTTGGTGATATAATTGAACAACCAATAATTTCAACAAATGGTAATATGTTCATATATTTAATAATAATGTACATAAACTTAAGTAGAAATGTTCATTTCTAATTATTATGTGTAAATACTATTAACTTAGTGTATCTCCAAAATGATGATTTATAATACAGCTGGAGAAAAGGATGTGGGTAAAACTTCAGCAGCTTCAGAACAAAGAATTGAAGAATTTTCTAGAACTGGTATAATGTTCAATTAAAAAGTGTAAAATGTTCATTTACAAACAAGAAATATTCATTATTAATTGTATTTTTTTGTTAGACGCAGCAACTGGTTCAAAATTTGAAGCTGACACTAGGTCAGATAATGAAGGATTGCCTAGAACAGGTATAATGTTCAATTATAAATACTCAAATGTTCATTTACAAAGAAATTATATTATATCTAATTAAATTTTTTCTTAGATGCAGGATCTGGTTCAGTGGTTGATGCTGACCCTAGGTCAGATGGTGGTGAAAAAAGTGATGATCCAAAAAACACAGTTGGAGGTGGAAAACAAAACAAGGAAGATGTTTTTGAAAAAACAAAAAATGATGAAAAAGTGGAGGGGTAAAATCCTGAAGACATGTCTTACTATTAGGGTTATGTAATTAATAAGGATAAAATATCTAGATGGAACAATTTAACTTATGTTACTATCGTGTTGTAACTTAAAACTGGAGTTTCTCAAACTATTGTATGTGTGTACATTATTTTGTTGAATATGTAATATGAATGTGTGGTTTATGTTAAATCGATATCTTTCATTTTATGAATTGAAAATGATTCAGGGTGTTACATAAGAAGCTTATATTTTATTAATATGTACTGACATTGTTTGACTTTTCAGTGAAAACAAGAAGATTGTTGCTTCATCCTCAAAAGTCACAAAAAGGTACATTATTTATATTAAGTAAATGTTCAAAAATAATAATGAACATTTTCATATACCTAAATGTACATTTGTGTTATGTAATATGACCAGGAATGATGATAAGAAAAAGTCAATTGCAGAAAAGAAGAAAAAAACTGAAAAGGAAAAGGTTGAAAGGTATAATTTCAAATTTATTTATATACACTCAAATGTTCATTTATGTTCCTCATAATTTTCTTAATTTAACAATATTTTATATTGAACAACAAGACCAAAACGCGAAAAGCAAACAATTCCTCCTGCTTTCCGATCTCCTTACTTGGTGAAGTACAAGGATCTGTTTAAAGATGAGAAAGCCATGAACCAAATTGCAGTAGACTTTGCTCTTGGTGGAAAAGATGAAAGGTAATTACTTACACTAATTAAACTTAAGGTTTAATATCTTTTATAAAAATATGTTCACATTCATATTATTAAATGTTCATAATGCAGTGCACTCTTATACTATGATGGCTTGAATCTCATCAATAGAAATGAAATGAAAACTCTTGGAGATGATGTTGAAGTGACAAATTGTGTCATAGATGGATGGGCAAGGTTTCTTAATCATAAAAAAGCCGAGAAACAAGATTTATTTCTCAACAGTGCTTCATGTTAGTCTTTCTTCTTTTTTTATATTATTGATTCTATTTTCTTATGATAAATAATTGCTAAAAATTCATTTAACTTCTATATGTTTGTTTCTATTTCAACAGCACATTATGTGCACAAATAGAGTTTGTCGAGAAGGATCATCAATGAAGACAAGAATTAATGCCTTCATAGAAAGAATTGACAATGAACTGAAGTTGAATAAAATTGACAGCATTGTTGGATATAAACAGGTATTAATTCTTGTTTAATACAAATGTTCAATTACATTCAATATATTGTCCAATAACATTATATAATTTGTTCAGGTCTTCTTCCCAGTATCAACTTCTCAACATTTTTTTCTGTTGTGCGTCAATCATATAGAAGACAAAATTCATATAATTGACAATAGAAAACTACCAAAAAAGGTATCAGTCCAAGCAAAATATGAAGAACAACCAAAAATGATGGTGAGATAATATGTTCATTTATAGTTGGCTACATGATCAATTATATTTTATTAATTGTTCATGTCTTCATCACAATACAAACTTCTAAACAATTTTTACTCTTTTTTCTATCAGTTAAAAGGATTGGCAGAGTACATGAAACACCTTGGATATCAAGATGCAAAAAGAATTGAAGACTACACAGTTGTTTTGGAAAAGATGAAATGGCGTAGCAACAATGACTATACAAACTGTGGAGTTTACATTATGAAGCATATGGAAACCTTCACTGCTGATCCTAATGAGAGCTGGATTTGTGATTTAAAACCAAACAATGTAAGAGTTATAAATGATCAATTATTTAAGATATAATATTCATTTATGAAACAGTAAAGATGGTTTAATTAAAATTTGACAATTCATTTTGTTCAACAGGTGGAACAAATTAGAAATCTAAGGCTCCAATACACAGCAGAACTGATGTTATTTGAAGAAAACACTGAATCAAGAGCAAATAGAAGGAAAGCTAGAAAATTTGCAACTTTGTAGTTTCAAATGTTCATTTACAACTATGTATATGTTCATTTCTTATATATGACTATTTTTTTTTTAAGAAATAGACTTATGGATTTTATTTTAATATTATTGTAATTGATATTTCATTTTAATCTTTGAATGAAAGTTTTTTATATTTTATTTTAATATTACTGTAATTGATATTTCATTTTAATCTTTGAATGAAAGTTTTTTATAAGTTTTATAAATTGGATGTTGGTTCTTACTTTTGTTCACATACAAATGACTAAATAATCATTGATAAATGTAGAATTTTAAAACATATAAAATTCTAATGACTAAATAATCATTGATAAATGTATAATTTTAAAAACATATAAAATTCTAATATAAATTTCAAATATACTAAAAATAGTACTATATAAAATATAATATTTATGTCTTTTACATAATAGATTGAAAATTCAAAATTACAAAATAGTAATTAAATCAACATTACAAAAAAGTCTAATGTTTATAAAGTTCTGGAATACTAATTATTTATCTTTATTAGCCAAACGTTTAGCTACACCTTGTATCAAAAAAGGCTAACAACCTATCATACTTAGAAGAAATCTTTTTAGAACCTAATTGAACATTTCTTGATTGAAGAATTGGAACACGAGCACCTTGATCATTTCTTTGAACTGTGGGAGGAGTAACTTGAACATTCTGAACACGAAATCCTTGATCATTTATTTGAACCGTAGGAGAAATAACTTGAACATTTGTTGATTGAACATTCCTGGAGTTGGATATGATCATTTCTGGATTGGTGTTTGAACAATTCTGAGTTTGATTTTGAACATTCCTGGGAACAGTAGGTTGAATAACAACAGGAGATTTTGTTGACGCACTAGTATGAATTGGAACTCTTGGATTAATTTGAGAGTAAGTTTTAACACCAGAAGCACCTTTATTTGCACCAACATTAGAACGAGCTTGAACTGCAGAAACACCTTCAAGATTTAAATCCTTCGCCTTTAAAAAAAATTAAATTGATCATTAATAAACCAGTATATGATCAGTTACAAACACTTATACAAACAAATATGGAAAAAAAAAACCTTAGCAATAGATGAAATATCAACATCAATAGATATGATAGATGAAAGTGAGCTTTCACCAGTAGCCTACAAAAAAACCAAAAAAAAATAAAAAATTAAATAAAAAAAATTATAATATAGATCATAAATGCCAAAAAATAAAATAAATTTATAATCAATAACAAACAAACATACCTGATCAAAATAATTGGAAATACTATGATTTGATTCCTTAGAACTAGAAGGAATTTCTTCTACAACAGCTGATTTTAAGCCGACCTATATTTTTAAATTATAAAAATCAATATTAATAAAATATAAATAAAATGTTTTTTTTGGCACATTTGAATTTACCTGAGCCCGTTTATTGCTCAAAACAATCAATTCAATGGGATCACTAATAGAATTAGCATAAGTAACAGCACAACCGTTCTCATCAAGTTCCTATTTTAAAAAAAAAACATAAATGATCATTTACGAAAACTGAAATGATCAATTTGAAAATATGAAATGATCATATACCTGTACAACTGCTTGCCCTATACCCCTTTTGTAAGAAGTGTACATAAACTTTTTCCTCTTGAAATTACCCTTTGCCTTGTTACACTACTTCTCCAAGGTACTCTTAGGCCTTACATTCCTCTCACCTTTAGGCCTAGCTTTTGGAGGATTCTTGATCTCAAGATCAACAATTTCAACCTCTTTAACAGGTTCACTAAAGTCAATTACACCTGATACACTCTCAACCTTTTCTTTTAACAGATTGAAATAACACTCAACCTCTGCCCTTGCATTCAAAGAATTCTGACAACTTGTTATCAACTTAACAAACTTTCTGATTGTTTGTGACCTCCAAACACTAGTAGCCACAACATTTGTCCTCAAAGTAGGTTCTTCAATACCATGACTACACATGGCAGCCTTTGTCCATCGTTTCATTATATACTCTTGTGGAATATTACGCACACAATGCAAATGATATACTCGAAGAGAATGAGAACAAAGTAAACCAGTCTCACTAAAGTACATGCATGTGCAACAAATTGCATGTGTTTCCTTATTAAAAACAACTTCATGCTTAATTATATCCTTCCCAGGCTTCCAAAGAAGATATGAATATTCTGGAAAACGCAAACCATTATCAACATGATCATAAGCTGTCCCCCTAATGAACTCCTCTTCAAAAAGCACATAAGCTTGAATAGTGTACAATGATCTTGCATGAACTAATATACCAATATTAGCAAAAGCTAGGTGCCTATTACCCCTCAGAGTATTGTAATCTCTTGCACCTTCCTTACTTCTCCACTCAGAAATGACATCAAGAAAAACATGATAAAAATCACATAAACCTTGAGTCTTATTAAGACGTTGTGAAACTGACTTATTAGTAGTTTCACTACGTTGAGAAGACAATATACCACCAGACCAATACTTCTTAGAATAAGCAGGACACCACATTTCCTTTATTTTATACAAATCACATAACCAATCATCATTTTCACATTTGTATTTATCACACATCCTGTATAACAGAAATGATCATATATTAATTTAAAAATGAACAAAATATAAATTAAAATATGTACATTTGTATAAAGAATAATGATCATAAACAATATGGACACTAATAATATTATGATAACATACATAACAAAGTAAATTGTATGATCATATGTAAAACACTAAATGTTCATATATATATCACATAATAATCAAATATATCACATAATAAAAATAAAAAATAAATACAAAAAACAATAATTTACCTTTTCCAGAAATATTCAAATTCAGCAGGAGTTTCACAATACTTCAAAAGATATCCAAACAAATCTGTAAAGCCTTCCAAAGCTCTCAATGCTCCAATGTGTTTCTTAGAATTTTGTTCAAGATGCCATTCACATAAACGATGATGAACAGTTGAAGGAAAAATGTTTCTTATACCCGCTGCAATCGCTTGTGCTTGATCAGTCATAATTGTAATGGGACTTTTCCTCCCCATTGAGTGCAAACATGTATCAAACAACCAATCAAAAGACTCGGTGCGCTCATTAAGAATAAAACCATACCAAACATGACATTGTTACCATGATGGTTCATCCCAACAAATGGAGCACATATCATTCCATATTTATTAGTTCTATAAGTTGTATCAAAAACCAACAAATCTCCAAAGTAATGATAATCTCTCATCATCCTACCATCACGCCAAAAAAAAACTAACTAAAGCACCACTATCATCTTGTTCAAAATCATAATAAAAATCTGCCTCATCCACATGTCTCTTGGCAAAATATTTAATCAATTGGTTACTATCACATCCTTCAATTTGGGCAGCTTTTCCAGATGACAATGCATTATAAGCATCAGAAGCAGTAAAACAAAGATTAGGAGATCCCCCAACCTCCTTCTTTAGAACCCTCAAAGAATCAGTAACTTTGACTCCACTCAATTTCATTGTTGAAATGAAAAGAAGCTGCTCTTTATTCACATCTCTTTGAGACCTTATCAAATGCCTTTTTTCAGGAGGAATCATAGCATGATTATGAACCATTTCATGTCTTGTACATGTATAGACCCCTAAATGATCAATATGAAACTGCACAAAAGCTAAACAACCAGTTCGATGATCCAACTTCTCATAAATCCTTTTATTCTTACACTTATTATCTTTGAATCCCTCATTACAACAAACAAATCTTTTCATCAAAAAAGAATCATCTCTTCTTCTCTTACTCTTCCCAATTCGAATTCCAAAACCTTTCCTAAAAGCATATTCATTATACGCTTCGAAAGCTTCATCTTCAGATTTAAATTCTTTATCCTTTAATTCAGACTGTTCTGCTTCTAAATACATAATATCATCATTTTTTTCCACTGCACAATATACAATCATAAATGATCATAAAGAGTTTCATGAATGAACAATAACAAATAAGTAAAATGTTCAATATCAAAACAGCACATGATCAATTGCAAAAAGAATTTCAGCACATAATATTTTGAACAATATTTTCATTATTTACCACTACACATAATATCGATATAAAAATGTAAAAATAAATGATCAAAAATGACTTTAAGACTGAAATAAACACATTAGTAAGTATGAATAAGAAAACATAAACGATTAATTGAAAGTATAATCTACAAAATATACGACAAAAACACACAATTCTAAAACACAGAGAAAACAACAAATGAAACAACAAATGAAGCAACAAAATGTTCATACAAAGTATAACAATCCAAAAACGTTCATCATAATGTAATCAAAGTAGTAAATTCAAAAATCGAAAGTGAATAATAATACATCAATTAAGTTCAAATTAACAGAGCATTATAACAGAACAAATTAGAGATAATTAAAAATTGCAAAATTATGATCACAATTACTCACATTGTTGCACAAACGAATCAACCAAACGAACTCCAGAAGGAAACACACGCTCGCAATCACGATCAAAATCAACGCAATCTCAAGATGCAGAATTCGCCATTGATGATCGGTAACAATTAACGAGTTCGTTCAAAAAATCAAATGAAGAAGATGAATTAGCGAGAGAAAAATGTAGATAAAAAATGGAGGTTGATCAATTGAAGAGAGAGAAAAAATAGGGTTTAAAATCATATATATACATAAATTGAATAATAAGAAACAAAGAAAAAAGGAAAAAAGAGGAAGAAAAGAAAAAAAGAAAAAAAGGAAAAAAAAAAGGAAAGAATCGCAAAAGGAAAGAAGCTGCACATGAGAACTCAATACCAACTACAAAACGACGTAGCATAGGGGGGTGTAGGGAACATACCCTACACTAGGGTGTAGGGTAAAATTTTCAGGCTATTAGAGGTAATTAGATGACAATTTACAAACTCGATTTTGACTAATTTTTGTGATTTATTGTTGAGAAAAAACATAGTCATGTGAGATTTCGTTAGAATCCTCTTATTGTGTATTTCCAAATAGTCTACATTTTTTAAATTTGATTTTTTTTTCTTTTTTTTTTTTGTCAAAAACTACACAATTAAATCTAGAAGTTTTGAGAACTTACCCAGTAAAGAAAATTGTAAGAAAATACCTTTAAAAGGTAAAATGTTGTTACAGACTACCCAGATCGGATTTTTACCGTTGTCTATATTTATTGCCGTTGACACACTTCTCCTTCTAACCACACTTCCCTCACTAAACAATGAGTTTGTTTAGCATCATAATAGTTTTTTGTTTTCCAAACTCATATGATATAGTATAATAAATCAAAAATTAGTCAAACTTATCAAAATCATGATAATTTTAAAAACTGACAACTTAAAAGTGGAAACTTCTTTTTCTTGTTTTCTGGTTTTGGGTTTTGGTTTAAAAAAAAACAGAAATTGTAAGTCTACATTCTTCTTCCATGTTTTTCGTTTTATCCTTGGCTATTCAGAGATTTACAATAACATAATTCCATGTACGCTAGTTTATATGCGCGACAAATAATTTCCAAGCAACAATTAATATAACATCAAACTTTAAGGATTTTATCAAGCATTGCATATGACTTTGTCAAGGAACAAATGTGGGACAGTTTTTTTTTAGAATTACAGCAGGATCGGGTTTCATGATATTCTTAGAAAATTACAGCAGGATCAGATTTTATGGTTTATCATCTGTGTAAAAAAAAGCAATAAAAGCAACAGACAAATTATGTTAGTAATAAAAAATGTATGATCGCTGTTTCAGGCTTGGCTGTAGATATTCTTCCTTGTTGCACTGAAGAACAGAAAAACGGTAATTTTGGTTTACAGAGTTTATTTTTGTGCTTATTTTTGTGTGTGTGTTGTGTATATGATTTATGGCTAACTCGGTTTAAAATGTAGTTATTTTGGGAACGCTCACAGGGAGCGAAATCAATCAAGAGAATCAATAAAAATGATGAAGTATTTTGTGGTAGCATTCCTCTTGATTGAGTTAATCACAGCACAGAAGCTTCCTAGAAATCCAGCCCCCCCTACATGGTTGACAATAACTGGTAATATATGTCTTTGAATGTTTGTCATCTATAAAAATGCAGGCAGAATGAAAAATTCTATTCTGATATTATGCATGGGGTGTAGGTAAACAGCCTGCTGTGATAGCAAGGGGAGGGTTTTCAGGATTGTTTCCTGATTCGAGTCGATATGCATATGACTTTGTGTCACAAGTGAGCTTACCTGATTCCATTTACTATTGTGATCTGCAACTTACCAAGGATGGCGTAGGCTTCTGCCAAACAGCGTTAAATCTTGACAATTCTACCAATATAGCCAACCTCTTCCCGAAAGGCCAAAAAACATACAATGTTAACGGAAAAGATATTCGTGGATGGTTTGCTATTGATTATTTTGCAGATCAGCTTTTACCTAATTTAACCTGTAAGTCATTCACATGATACTTGTCTATTTTTTCTCTGTTGATTCTGATTTTTGGAGTGTTTTTTTTTTTTTGCTGCAAAGTATCTCAGTTGACACTCCACAAACCATATTGTTTCTTTCTTTGTATCTTGCAGCTGTCCAGAATGTACTGACTAGACCCAATGCTTTTGATGGTCAAGAATTACTCCTAGTCGAAGATGTGACCTCTATTAGCAAACCACCTCCAAGAGTCTGGCTGAATGTTCAGGTTAGCGCAAAAAGCAGTATCACATTTATTGTCGATCAATTGTTCCATCTGATTGAAAGAACCAAAGAAAAGAAAGCAAAATAGTGAGAATGCATCAAGTGAATTGACTATATTTTATGCCTTTTTTTTTGGCAGTATGACCTGTTCTACAACCAGCACAAAATCAGCCCAGCATTATACCTTCAGGATTTGAGATTTGCAGGAATCAATTACATATCTTCTCCTGAAATTGGCTTCTTGAAAAGTATAGGAGCTAAAGTGGACAAAGTCCGGACCAAACTTGTTTTGAGGTTTCTAGAACCTGAAGCAATTGAACCTACAACCAACCAGTCATATGGTGAGATAGTGAAAAACCTTGCGGCTATAAAGCCATTTGCTTCAGGCATTCTGGTCCCCAAAACATATATATGGCCAGTTAACAAGGAAATGTATCTTATGCCACCTTCTACTCTTGTGACTGATGCTCACAAACAAGGCCTTGAAGTATATGCTTCTGGGTTCGCCAATGATTCCCCTGGCAGTTATAATTACAGCTATGACCCAACAGCTGAGTACTTGCAGTTTATTGATAACGGTCAGTTTTCCGTTGATGGTGTGCTCACAGACTTCGCTCCTACAGCATCTGAAGTAATTGGTATGTGATATCTGACATGTTACCAGTACTTGATTTGATTTATACTGAAAATTGAGCTTATAGTTCTATTCTTGTTGCTCTCCTCTAAAGTTGTTATTCCTTTGCAGCGTGCTTAGCACACAACAAAAATGCTAGCAAGCCTAAGAAAGGTGGGAATCCCATAGTTGGTTCCTCTCTCTTTTGAAGCTGTACCAAGTGGAGGCAGGATTTTAAGTTGGATTTTGGTTTCTGTTTTTTCAGGGCACTCTCTAATAATAAGTCACAATGGTGCTAGCGGAGACTATGCAGGATGCACTGATCTTGCATATGAGAAGGCGGTCATGGATGGGGCTGATATAATTGACTGTTCAGTCCAAATGTCGAAGGATGGTGTAGCATTCTGCCTCGATTCAGCTGACCTTTTGGGCGATACCACTGCCATCAGTACCTTCATGTCTCGATCCTCCAACATCCCTGAAATCCAACCCATGAAAGGAATATTTTCATTTGATCTCATTTGGAGCGAGATCCAAAGCTTAAAACGTAAACTTCTCATTGTACTTTCCAAATTCTAAAATACAGTTTTTTTTTTTTTTTTCCTCTGGAATATGTTTGAATAAACACTAGCACTGAATAAAGGAATATTGTTATCATTTCAGCACAACTGACGAGCCCACTGTCACAAGATATGGGAGGCTTGCCAAGAAATCCAGCAAATAAGAACAAGGGCAAATTCTTAACCCTAGCTGAGTTTCTTGACTTTGCCAAGGCTAAAGCAGTTACTGGAGTTCTAATCAACATACAGGTGAGACAAAATCTTACTGGCGCATCTTAATTTCAACTATTGTTAAATTTCTGAGAGAAAAATATTGACAAGTAGTCTCTGAACTGTATTCATCAATGTTTTTGCTGTTTGAAACCAGAATGCACCCTACCTAGCCTCAAAGAAAGGTCTAGACATAGTAGGTGCTGTCACCACTGCCTTGAGCAACGCCACATTTGACAAGCAATCGACCCAGCAAGTTATGATCCAATCAGATGATACCTCGGTGCTGGCAAAGTTTAAGGATTTCCCATCATACCAAAGAGTCTATGATATCATGAACATAATAGGTGATGCCCCAAAGCCATCGGTGGATGAAATCAAGAAATACGCAGATGCTGTTGATGTCCGAAGGCCCAGCATTTTCAAAAGCATAGCCTTTATCCTTAGTAACTTCACCAAAGTCGTCGAGGAAATGCATGCAGCAAATATCTCTGTATATGTCTCCCCTCTATACAATGAGTACACCACCTTGGCATTTGACTTTTTTGCCGATCCTTTGGTAGAGCTATCCACCCTTATTAAGGCCCTCAAAGTTGATGCAGTAGTGACTGACTACCCGGCTACAGCCAATGCTTATTTGAGTAAGTCTTCTAACTCCTGTCCCTCTTTCCCTAATTTTGTCAGTTCCTAATTTAAAAAGTCCAAAAATTTTATTACCACCACTTCAGAAGATTTATACATTTATCTTGCAAAACTTGAAGGAAGCCCATGCTCAGATCCAAGAAATACAAACCTAGAATACCCGATAAGTCCAGTGGAACCAGGGGCTTTGCTTGAAATAGCTGCACCACAAGCACTTCCTCCATCAGGAGCACCAGCTCCGGCTCTTGAGGTAGCCAGCATCGTAGACCCGCCTCTTCCACCAGTTTCTAAGGAGGAAAACCCAGCAGCTCCTGCACCTGCAGATCAGAAGAAGAGTGAAAGTGGGAGGAGCACCACCAATTTATGTCTCTCCTTAGTGGTGGCACTGGCCCTCAGCTTGATTTTAACAGTTCACTAACAATGAAGTACTTGAAGGCTTTTTGCCGGAATATTTTGTAAATGTTGTATGCCCCAGTTTGAGATTGTAACAAAAAAAATTCCCTCAGTCATCGGTAATTATATCTCAGTACACTTCATACCAGGAGTCTAGTTTTGATGGACAAAATACTTGGATGCACAATGGGAACATAAAATTCTTCCATAGAACAAGGGTTAAAAGCATCCTGCATCAAAAGCTTATTGTACAACACGACCTCATTTTAACGCAGAGAAATGACAATAGTACACTATTAAGACAATTATAATTTTAAGCAATAAACAAGAGACATCCCATTCCTTGTAATACTCCAGAAAATTTAGGGAAAGTGGAGAGAATGATAAATAAATAAAGAATGAGCAAGTCAGATGAAAATTTTCTTCGAATATCATTATTTACAAAAAAATAGTCTAAGCACAATTTCATTACAAAGCAAATACATGAATGGAGGATCAAGTTGTGGAACTAAATTAACACTAGACATAACAAGAAATTCCATGTATAACTTTACTTAACAATTAAATTAAAATTGAAAGGCAGGTTTATGACAGCTACATGATTATTCATCAATGATTAAATAAACTGAAGTCACTTGCTTTTCATCTTCTTCCATGAGGTTAGTTCAGGAGGTAACACACCTTCACCAGAGGAAAGCACAGCTTGTGCAGTCAACTTTCCAAGCCAGCCATGGTAAAGTAATCCTCTGGCACCAAGACCTCCAATCAACCAATACTTAGAAGAACAATCTCCCCCTACAAGATCATCTATGGAACCTAAAAGTGGAAATGATCCTTGCGGAGTTAAAGGTGGCATTGCCCTGACACCTGCCTGTGCTCCTGTTAAAGTCCACTTGGTTATTTGCGGATAAACCATACTTGCCTTAGGTAAAAGTTGTTGCAGAGTACCAGAGGCTTCCTCGGAGGAGACAATAGAAGAGAAATTTCTTGATTCCCAATCCCATGTTGACCCTAAAAGTAGCCTTTTAGACCCCTGAACAGCAAGCCAAGCATCTGACAGGATCGAAGGACTATCTTCACAATATTCTTCACTGCATTACAGAATAAAGCATAACCATAACTTCATAACCCCCCGTCCCACCAAAGAAAAAGAGAGATAAGGCATCACTTTGGAAATGATGAAAAAAAAGGAGATGAACATTTGATACGCACGTGTCCACATGCGTAATCCCGTTACAACTTCAACAACAAACTGAAAAATTTAGCAATATTTTGAAATAGATGAATTTAGACACTTTATTTGGAAAAAAAAGTGTGGGATGCTTCAAGGACAAGGGAAAACCTTTAAATTTCCAATATAAATTTTATCTAGATCATCTTTGTATTCATAATTGAAAAAATGACTGAGGGCGCCCCAGGCAATCAGCCTGATCAACGAAATATTGTCAATCAGTTGTTTTTGTGGGCCCCCCTTGCCAGGCAAATTAATTTTAGATTGTTGTAATGTGACGGAGATTTTTAAGGACGTTAGTATACTAACGTGTATTTTGAATTCCTAAAAGCTAAAATAGAAAATTGTTCATCTTCTCCAATCTTCCACCAGCTCTTAGAATTGAAATAGAGAATTAATTCCATCTTCTCAAATAATCTTCCACCGGCAGCACCACCATAGCCACCATCTGGTCCACCACCATCACATCGACCACCATCCAAAACCCATCACAGCCACCACTATCTTTCCGCCTTCCGCCGATCAAACCCACAAAAGCCTTCCTCTTCGTCCTGTCGTCTTCCTCTTCGTCCCGTAGTCCTCCTCTTCTTCATCAACAATGGCCGCTTCGCGGCGAAACAAAAGATACCCTACTAGAAAAGAGTGTAAATTAGGGTCATATCAACCTCTTAGGGAAAGCCTTTCATTCAAGGCGGCATTTTGAACATCCATAGGCGGTGGTGCCGTGGAGGAAGAAGTGGTTTCTGGGTTTGGGTTTCAGATAAGGGTTTCGAATTAGGGAAAGTGATGACATTCTCTGAATGATTCCTCATGACGGAAGGTAGCGACATTGACTATCAATGTTTGCACAAGCTGACAAGACTACCCTTACTAATATGACTGAAAAAGACGAAATTGACCCCTAATTTGCACAAGCTGTAAATCAGCCTGATCAACATGTATTTCCTCAAAATGACTACAGCTTTCTACCCGATTCCCCTTGTAAATTACTGGTATCCACAGTTTCTAATCCATCATTATTAATAGAAATCATACAAATTAGAATTTTCAATTCTCTACAACACTAAAAGGGATCATTTTGGGTGGCTTTGTTGTTGCTGTTCTTGTTGTACAGCACTAAAGGGATAAAATGAGATCAGCCACTCTACTATAGCTTGTTTCGTCGTGAGATAATCTCTTTTGCTTGGTCATGCTTTACAGAAAAATACCTTTGTTCTTCCCTCTTTTTCTCAAGTTTCTTTTTGTCTTTTTTATTTGATCTACATAAGGACCTCATACTCTAACAAACAAAGATCAGTCACAGAATTTTATCCTAGCAGGAAAAAAAAAGATACAATATTAAATTTTCTGCTTGAAAATCCAGTTTGAAATGTTTAGTTTCTCCATCAGTAATTGGTATTTAAACGTAGTTATGCATACTATATTTAACAAAATCTATCGACCTAAGGTATATAAAACATTCACTCAAGGGAACCTCCTACCATCCAATGTTATTATATTCCCACAATCCCACTTGACTAGTGCTAAAATTACAAAACAAAAAATGTAATTAATTGATAGGATAGCGAAGGTCTCCATTAGTCTTTTACTCCACCAAATCATACAACTGTAAGAAGTCTCCATATAGGAACATCACTGGGTTCTTTGTTGCTGCATTTTTTCTTTGAGGCAGATTGATGACTTCATAATCAGTCTATTCTTCAATTTCACTTTGGTTTTGTAGCTGTGCTTCCTTTAACATTTCTTCATTCTATTCAAAAGGTTCATATTCAATGGTTTATCTTCAAGTGGTATATTCTCTTTTTCATCCTCTATTGGATTATTATGAGGCTCCTCATCATGGATAGCATCATTTACATCTCCTATCCCTCCATAAACTCATAGATTAAGAGGTAAAACATGGCCTACAACACTACTAACAGTCATTTCCTTATAAGTCACTTTTTTTTTTTTAATCAATCGCAATACAATGAGTATCCTAATGTCAAAGAATACTTGAAATTGAAACTTGTTAAACTCTTACCACAAGGAATCATGCAACTGAAGGTGTGCAACAATGCCTCTGCATGTCCTTAAAGGAAGCTTTCCAGATAGCTCAGGCAGCATGTCAACTCTAGCACCGAGACAAACTATGACCGAATCATATTCATCTGGATAAACAAACAGCATCCAGTCAGGTGAGGAGAAAGCACTCCATCACTTGTGTAAAGATAGTATAAGAAATAACCTCCCAGTTGACTTAGTGAAGCTACAAGTTTGTTATGCAAAGTAATTTCCTTGGTAGGGAAGCCTGTTGACGAGATCTTGTTGACCAAATGTTGAGTTGCGAGAAAAAGTGCCTGGCACAAAGAACATAATGAAATGAAAAAAATTCAACACAGGGAAAAAGTAGTAAGATGATTAGTAGTAGCACACCTTAAGATAGTTGTGGGGATTAAGATTGACAGCTAGAGGCATAAAGAAGGCTGTGTTTAAAGGGGTACATAAGTTTGGTATAAGGTCCCTTGCAGAAGTTCCATCAAGGGTCTGTATTGGACAAGTTGGTAGACTATTGAGAGCATTCTGCAAATAAGAAGCCAGAGTTATAACGTGAGGAGATGAGACGGATTATGGTCGTGAAAATGAAGTATAACCTGGTGCATGACATCCAATATCTTGTGATTAACAGGTGGCCTCAATATGCCCCTGAAGTAAAACTTATAGCATTAGATTCGAGAGTTATAATGTAAGTGGTCATAAGTAAAACTTATACCATTAGATTTGAGAGTTGTAATGTAATTAGTAGTAAGTAAAACTTATAGCATTAGATTCGAGTCGAGAAATGTAATGAAAGGGTCTGTTCTCTTCACCTTATTTTCAGTTCAGCTCAGTTCTGTTCCTAATTCCTTCTCTAATAAAATATCCAGTTCAGTTCACCCTGGTTCACTAAATGAGAACAGACCCTAAGTGGTAGCAAGTACAACTTATAGCATAAGATTTGAGAGTTGTAATGTAAGTGATAGTAAGCATATTCATAAAGTTGTAAATAAAGAGTGAAAGGAAAAAAGACAGACGTTCTCCTGACAATGAAGTCATCGGTAGAAGCTGCAGCTGCGGCGGCTTCAGCAACATTAAGAAGATTTAAAAACTCTGTCCAGCATTCATCAGCCCTCCAAAGAGGCTTGACTGGTAGATGATGAGAAATATGAGAATGAATATTATTAGTATTATTATATACTTCGACAATAATTGTAGCTGATTACCTTTAGGAGAATAGGGGTGAACGAGGCCTCCAGCAACTCCAGAAGCGCCGCCAGCGATGCCAACATCATCAAAAATGTCAACTTTCACTTTCAATTCGTTGGGGCTGTGCTGCCAATTGTTAGTTAACACAACATTCAAAATCAATTCATTAATCAATCCCCAATCACCAAAACCCTAATTTAATTAATTAATTGGAAAGAAATAGAGAGATGAATTACGAATAGCAAATGCCACGCCACTGACAACCCAGCAAAGCCGGCACCAAGAACAGCGCACCTATTACAATTTACAAACAAATTCTCCAATAAATCAATAAATTAAAATACAAAGCTCAACGTAAAAATATTAATTGGATGAATTAGAGTCCAAGAGACCTGAGCGGACTATTATTTGGATGAGTTGGTCGCCGAGACTCAGAGATGCATTGCTGAATTGGAGTTTTTATCATCTCCCACTTCCTCTGCTCCTCTTCTTTACTTTATTAAGCCACTGGTCTTTAGGAGCATACTAGTCTATCCACGCCAATGCTTACCTGTTATCCGAGTATTACTAATACGAACTATGAGTACAAGAAAAAAAGCAGCCCCCGTTGTTTTATAACCTTCATATAGAAATCATATTTATCAAATGACATTTTAGTTGCTCTGTAATAATTTGCATTTAAATATGTGTTTTTTGTTTTAAAAAAAAGTTTTTTATATGCGTTACTTTATTAGCGTTATAGATTTATAGGGATTATTTCATTAGTGTTGTACGGTTACTCGGTCAATATAATAGGGAATACTTGATTAAGAATACTCGATTCTCATACAAGTGTGGCCAGCCACAAAAAAATAAAATAAAAATACTAAGAAAAAAAGAATAATTTACAGTTTTTTCATCTTATCCTTGTCTTGTTATATTACATACAGAGTGTTTCAATTCCTTTAGGGGGCGTTTGGTTCGCAAACTGATATGGGGTTGAAATCATGAATGAAACCATAATGGTATGGGTTTGAAACTTGATTCTTAATACCATATGTTTAGTATGCTTATAGAATACAATTTTTTTTCTTTTATTTGATACCTAAAGGCTAAAAGTATGGGAATGAGCCAAACTCACCTCCCCCCAAGGTTTCTAATACCTTTGAGGTATGGATTTGAAACTCTTAAAATCATAAAACAAACATAAAGTATGGGTTTAAACCATTCTAACCATAACTTATACCTTAATTATGTAAACCAAATGCCCCTCATTATATTTACAACCTTCATTCATTATTATACTCCTATTAGTCCAATGAACTTCACACAATTTAGCCCTCCTGCTTTTTACTAATTACAGAGTATATAATCAAATCTCAATAACATTTTCGACAACATGTTACCTTTTGTTAGACAGATGTGATTATATAATCCATAGGACTATAGGAGTACCAAGTCGTATATCCAAAGACTATAATAATTGGCTTTTGGAGCCCCTATGTCATTTCAGTGCCTAAAATTGCCTTACAGAGAGATATAAAGCTTTAGTTGAGCTGCTCAGCTTGTTGGACTGTATAGTTGCAGACTTACAGGTATACTATTAACTATACTCATTATGTAATTGAAACTTAGGAAGAAACAGAGACTACTGCTACATGGTAAGAGAAGTAAGCTGTTAACTGCCAACCATGAACAATCATAGATAAACACAAATAAAATCCTAACTTCTAAGTTACATAATTGCTTATATCATGCAAATTGGTTGCTAGTCACCCATAAGTCCATAACTGAGTCCAAGACCACCAAGTATTTTGTCCCAAAGAACATCTCATTGATCTGATGGAAATATACAATTTGCAAGGCCCAGATGAGTTTGGAGATGATACTGACTTAACAAATTGGCAATCAGGAATGATTCCATAGGCCATAGACCCCTCAAGCTTTACGAACAATCACACGTCTTTCTCTCTTGTACTCAACTTCATCCCTTTGGTGCATTATCAGTAGAGCTCTTCTCACCTGCAAAGTCAATAATATGTTAATGTCTCTACATGTGGAAACACACACATGATTCATAAGTCACTCATAACATTCTAAATCTAAAGGAGATCAAACAAATTTATACTTGAATTCATCAACCCCTGTTCAGGATAGGATTTTTTTTATAATACATATGTTGTTGTATACAGAATCTGTTATCACCATCTATTAGGACAGCTTTATTTTTTTTTACTGAGAATGTACCAGCCAAATTTTCATGTTTTATACGATTGCAGAAAGCAAAATAGAATATAATTTGGAATATCATCCTTTGCACTTACAATGGATTCATTCAACCCCATCCTGCTCAAGTCATCAATTAAACGTCTTTCTGAGATGTGGCTACCAATGCCAATTCTTCTCTTTATCTGTACTTCTGCTTGCTGTTCACCAAAAAAAAAAAAAAAAGGCTTGACAAAAATAAAACTAAAAGATAACCTGATAAAAATACAAGAATTCTTCAAGACAGACCTTAATCTCATTTGCCATTTCAGCAGTAAGATTTACTTGCTGATTAATTCCAGAACTAGCTGCGTCCATGGTGGCAACATTGAACAGCCGTATTGCCTCCTTTACATGCTCATCCGTGGCAACATCAGACCTGTAACCAGGGTATACAAACATTTAGTAAGCCAACACAATGATGACATAGAAATAATAGTGTTGCCACACTAAGCATAAATGTTTTCATTTGGAAGGAAAAGCCATAAACATAGACTTGCCTCGGTTGCTGCCTTGCAACAATCCACCCTCCCATCCCACAAGTTATAATGATTTACAGCTAGCTCAGAGTGGTGACTAGCAGATCACCAGTCTCAAGCAGCTTTCAAACGTACAAAAACTTTGCACGCAAACCATAACAAAGTCCAAGTATTAGAGCTAAATATAAGCACTTACAATCTCATCTTTGCAAGGGCTTCGCTTAATCTAACTATAGCCTCAAGTTGCCTCACAGTAATCGGTATTGCAGATGCCTCACCACTTTCATTTGCTTTTTGTCTCATATCCTACACGAGAGCCAGAATATGAATCATTAGACATACAACCAAAATCTATCATAAATTCATAACCATCAGATTCTAAGAGTATATGACACCTTATCTTTCAAATACCTATTATCCCACTTTAACAATCAAAAAATATCGACTGAAATTATTCCTAACTTCTCAACAATACAAATAGGCAAGTGGTTTTGGAAGCTTCAATACCTGTCGGATGCTAACATATTCAGTTTGTAACTTCTTTGCAGCTGATTCTGACAGACGGGGGCGGCAATTAGATCTACAATAGTGTATGTATCTGTATACAGTGAAGCACATGCAATTAATACCAATGTAGCATTCACAAATGTAGCACCAAGGAAGTGTATGGTCCTGTTAATATACACAAATACCTCTTTAACCAATTCTCCTCTTTTGAAACTTTAGATTCCTCCCTAGTCGAACCAGCAGTTGCATGTAGATTTGTGATATGTTTAGCAATTTCCTGAAACAAGATACATGAATAATAAAAAAAACCAATAGGGTGCTTATTTTGTGAAGAACAAATGGGAAAGAAAGCATCATATACATCTTGGTGCATATGAATCCAACTAACCAGGTTCTAAACCAAACACAGAGAATGAAAATTGAGCACTTATTATACTCATAACATAGTGAAAAAATGCTGAAAAGTTCTTTAGCTTATGCAGTATGTATACCTTATCTTGGCTATACATCCTGATATCTTTGACAATGAAGATCAGGTCAAACCTAGAAAGAATAGTTGTCTGCAGATCAATGTTATCCTGCGCAGTCTGGAAGAAAGGGGGATTCTTGCTATTAGAATTTACTGCTAAAACAAACATTGTTGTATGGAGCATAAACCAAAAAATAAAAAAAAAACTGATGAACATACTTACAGAAAAGATAACAGAAGCTACAAACCTTAAGATCATCATAACGCCCTGATGGAGGATTGGCAGCTGCAAGCACAGAGGTTCTCGAATTAAGAACAGTTGTTATACCTGCTTTAGCAATGGAGATCGTCTGCTGCTCCATAGCTTCATGAATAGCAACCCTGTACGAGCAAGATTGCAAATCAGCAATTATGAAATATATGCAAAACGAATTATTACACCAATCTGTGGTCGTTTCAAAAAATAATTAAACCAACTAAACTCCACTTAACCTGTCCTCTGCTCGCATCTTGTCAAACTCATCAATGCAGACAACACCTCCATCAGCCAATACCATGGCACCACCTTCCAGATAAAACTCACGCTGCACATAAACAAGATTGATCGGAATTAAGAGATGAAACTGAGAAAAATGAGCCAAGTATTTCAGTGGAATGCCAGTTAGGTCTTAGATATGACAGGAAAAAAAATGAAAACATTTATGACTAAAGAAGTTGAGAACTTACTGAACCACTGTCTCGAATCACAGAAGCTGTAAGTCCAGCAGCCGAAGATCCTTTACCCGACGTATAAACAGCTACAGGTGCTGTCTTCTCGACAAACTTGAGAAACTTCATTGAGAAAAAGTGATTATGTTAAAAGTTTATTGAGTTAAGGTAAAATGGGCTGTCATGTAGCTGCTATACTAGCCAGTGAGTTTCCTATTGATTTAAAAGAAACACTAAGAATATAGGGTTGAGAATTAAACATTAGACTGCTAAGGAACATGAAATGTGCAGAGAAAACTACCTGTGATTTGGCGGTAGAAGGATCCCCCAATAGCAGCACATTAATGTCACCTCTAAGCTTCACACCATCCGGCAAAGACTGCATCCACAAAAAAAAAGTAAATCACATATATTTCTATGAATTAAAGGGAAATCACAAGATGATTAGCAAGACAAGAGATTGTACCTTGCGTGATCCACCAAACAAAAGACTAGCCACGGCCTTCTTGACATCAACATGGCCAAAGATAGAAGGAGCAATCTTAGAGCATATAGTTTCATATGTTTTAGGCTGAGCAGCAAACCTTTTGAATTCTTCAATCTGCGACAAAAGCATATATGAAACATGACTCCTGAACATATAAAGAATAGATAAAGAAGGTGTGTTAACATAAAAGAGAAACACACCTCATCAGCTGTGAAAGCAGCTTGACCTCGAGTGTTGCTGGCCTCATTGGCTTCCTCTATCCCTACAACTCTTATGTAAGGTTGTCTAATAGCAACTGCTCCCTTATGACTGTACAAGAAGCAACAACGAATGAGAAACAACAGTGATAAGTATGCGATTGCAATGGTAATATAATGGGTAAGGTAAAGGGTAAATACGCGGTAGATGCATTGGCAGCTTGAAAGATGCTGTAAATTCCAATGACAGTGAGTCTAGAGCCAGGAACAATAGTTTGAACAAGATGTCTATCGACGGAAAGAAGCATGTTTCTAGGCAGCTCTCCAGTTGGAACGTCCTAACAATAATATTTATTATATTAATTTAAATGAACAAGAATCCATGAATGTGGTAGATGTTTATGAAACAAAATGAGAAACATTCACCTCAGGATTCTCTTGGAGTTTAAGGGTCTGCTGATCAACATATCTACTTCTATCCGGAACCACAAGCCAAGGATCAAGAGGGCAAGGTTCTTCACCAGGCTGTATTGTATTTTTGCGTAATAAAAACATCGTTAAAATGTTGCTACCGGTGATGATGATATCAACCACAAAAAGAAAAGAAAAGAAAAAAGGACCTGAGGAATATGGTCACAAGATCTGGGAATGATAGCGCCGCCAAGACCAGGACGGCAAGGAACGAGCTTGACATTTTTACAGTTCTTACAAAGCAAAGTGACATACGTAGCCTTAGCTTTAGTTCTAGAAGCTGCTATGGTAATCCCTGATATCTTAACCATTTTGGAAATGTATTGAGCCTGTATGGTCGATTAATCAATTAAATGAAATCGAAATTGAAATTGAAATTAAAAAGGCAAAACCCTAGAAAAGATTCAAACATACACCAAGAGAGCGTATAGAGATGGAATCCTCATTGGATGTAAGGAGAATCTGAACATCCTCAGTAAAAGGCTCCTCCATTTCTCCGGTCTCCCCGGCCACTTTGGACTTCAAACTGGCCAGCACCTCCGACGCCGCCGTCTCAAACTGAATGAAATTGAATAAAAAATTGTAATGTAATTATGAAACATACATGTAATTAATTAATGTAATTATGAATGAATAATGAAGGAAGAAAAGTAACTGACCAGAGGGAGGTAGTCGGCGGGAGCAGAACGGAGGAGAGAGGGTAGATCGGGATCAAAGGAGTCGAGGTGCTCAAGGTTAACGATGAGTGAAGTAGGATTTTGGACGAGGCTCTGACGATAAGGGAAGACATTAGATTTGGTCTCGAAGCTTCTGATGAACTCCTTGAATTTAAGGAGAACAGAGTGCCGACTGTCGGAGCTGTTGTCGCCGACACGACCGGAGGGGAACTGCGCCTGGTCGCTGTAATACACTGCTCCTTCATCCCACCCTGACATTCTCTCTCTCTCTTCTTTCTCTCTCTAACGATTCAGTGAAATGGTGGCGGAACTGATTGGTTTCAAAGGAAATGAGAAGAGATGAATGAATGAGTATAAAAGGGGTTTTGCTCTTTTTGGCGGGCTTTTTTGGCGGGAAAACTCTCCCCGCTCACCGTATCCAACTCCCAACACCCTAATTTAGCCCAACCGAGGTTCTTCTTTCCGGACCCAAACCAAGGATCCAATACCTTTTACTACCCTAACTCCAAATTCACGTAACAACCATAATTAAATTAAGAGTTTGTTCTCTTCAACTTATTTTCAGTTCAATTCATCTTCAATCAATTCAGTTCAGTTCACTTCTTAGTTCAGTCAATCAAAACAGGCCCTAAATACGTGTTACAACTTACCGCATACTCTCTACAACTTATGTTATAACTCACTTTTTATATTCAACCGTGCTTTTATGTTCTTCTCCCTATGTTATTATTATTATTATTTTTTTAATATAATCCTATTTAGGGTTTGTTTGTTTTAGCGGAAAAACAACCTTTTGAAAAAATAATTTTCAAATTAAAACCTATATTAAAAATAATTTTCCTGTATTTTCTCACAAGAAAAATTATTTATTATGAATTGAAGGAATATATAGCAAACCTTTCTTTTAAAAGGAAAACACAATCTATTCTTGAAAGAACTATTCTCCACATTTGGGAAAATATGGGAGAGATGCATCCTTTAAAGTCAAAATAAATGACTAGTGAATATGCATTCTTTTTGCTCAAATATATACACCATCCAATAAAACAGACGGAAGGAGGCAAATGCCTTAAAATTGACTAATTTACATACAAAATTGGCCCATATCTTCAGGCTTAAAGGTCTTTAGATACATAAGCAGCTTAGTTTTGTAATAACAGTCCAAAAAATTAGTTAACTGCCTTTTGCCCCTTCCAAAAACTACTACCCACCATAATTAATACATCTTATTTATTTACTAGTCAAATTTGGGCCTCCTATGGCCTACTCTAAGGCCCAACGGACTTAAGGCCTACTATCATAATCTTCATAGGTCCTCCTTCCCTCGTGTCACAATTATAATATTATATAGTATATACACAATTACACATGAAGTCGTGATTTGTGGCTCTTATCTGATGTAACCTTCCTTCTTCAACAGCCAAAGTGCACCTTCTGCTGCTTCTTCTGCAGCAGCTTTCTTTTTTGCTTGAGGTTGGCCAAAGCACTCCAATATCACATCTTCTGCTTCCTCGATTACCACCATTACCTTGAAAGTGAACCTGCATAATGGCACATTCAGGAAAACAGGAAACTGACCACAAAAACACCTTTCTTTAACTATCTTCACATCATCAGAAATGAAAACCAGTTTTTATTTTGAAGGGTTTCTTCTCTAAAAGCAATAATAGAGCCTCAAACCTCAACTAGACAATGTCATGTAACTGAGTTACACTCTGTAGCCAAGCCATGCATGCAAGGTTTTGGGGACAAAATAGCTTAGATACAAATAATTGAGGTAATGACACAAGTGGTTTTCAAAGACTGCAAAATTTAAGCAAATTTTTTTTTTTTTTTTTGGCAAATAAAATCAAATTATTTAACCAAATAAAGCAACACAAGAAAGCTTCAGAAACAACTTCAATAACTACAGAATAGAGCATCAATTTCACGCCCTTCCCAGATAGGAAGGAAACAAGGGGAGACTCGTCAGATGCAAAGCACTTTACTACGGAGTACTAGAGCAAAAGCCGAGATCTCACACCATCTTTACATTGTACAGGAAAACAAAGCATGAAGACATCTGAGGTTTCTTTGGAAAGAGGGAGTGGGGTGCACATGTGGTAAATACAACTTACAATTTCAAATGGCTTGGTCCTTCCTCTTTACAGCACTCATAAAGAGGGGGTTTCCAGCAGTTTCTAACGCAAATCTCATTCAATCGCGATTTTGCAGTTGCTTTTCCCAGGCTACCTGAAATTTGCACACATCTAAGGTTCAGCTTTTTTTACAGCGCATATAGCAATACTGAAAATTCATTAATGCAGCTTAACAGTACCATGCACATCTGAGTCAATGCTACAATTTTCACCCCCAGTGTCTTGACTATGCTGCCGTCTCTTGTACGAAGAAACGGGTGCTATGGTGGATTTTTTCTGGGAACTAGAGACAATTGTTGGCATTTCGTATACATTGGGCTCTGGACTTGCACTGTCATTGAGGATAGGACAATCATTCAAAGACAAGTTTCTGAAAGTGAGTTCTGGATTCACAGAAGTATGAGAATGATCCTCCACGCACAAATTTCCAACATTGGGCAGATCGCTGGAAGACACTAGCGACAGAGGCATCTCATCATATCCAACCAGCCTTGGTTCCATTTTGCGCAGCGTTTTTAGGACCTCCTCCAATGATGTCTTCAGACGACAACCCTGAGCCTGCAGATATGGAAATGTCAGCTTATTACTCAACAGTAGACGAAAGCAGAGTAAATACAGATTCATTTATACTCAGATAATAACCATTGGAACTTTGACGAGTTCAGACATTTTCAGAAGAATATTCCTTCAGGAACATAGACAAGCAAAAGAGGAGTTTACAAGGATGGGAGGCCCAAACCATATATATTCTTCTAAGCAGTGTCATCATAAGTACGGAGTAATATAAGCTTTCAATAAGATAATTTTTTAATGGCACCGGTAATGAATTCATCCTGTTCCAGATTCTGGAGACAGCATAGGGGTTGTGCTAATATTAGAATGGAATACATCAACTAACAACAACAGCCAAGTCAGAAATTATATCTATTTTTTTTTTTTTTTTTGCAATTTTTTTTTAATTTTATTATTACAGGAATAATGGCCAGCAAATCTGCATCGTAGAAAAGGTGGAATCACCCATATAAGAAGATTGTCACCTTCAGTTTTTCAATAGCTTTCCGTGCAGCCATTCTCTTAGCTCCTTTAGTATTGCGATACATTGCAGATTCAGCGACATGAAAACTTTTTCCTTTCACTATTGCCTCAACCATGAAACTTCTATTTCTTTTTGAAATAACATATTCTAAATTCAAGCCATGATACTGGCATAGCTCCTTCAGCTCTCGAGTAGGAATAAAGTGCAGATTAGCATATTTCATGATAGGATTCATAAACGAGTGCATCAACTTCCACACATGATCTAAGTCAAACCCTGAATCAAGAAGAACAGCCCCAAAACAAGACTCAACCAAGTCTCCCAGAGCCTGTAGGATGAAGAAAAGGGCATTAAAGGTAGTAAAGCATACTTAGAATATTAGACAATGATGCATAATTTTTTTTAAAAAAAAAAAAAAAAAAAAAAAAAAAAAAAAAAAAAAAAAAAAAAACTAATAATAAAAATACAAAGTATTTTTAAAGCTTAAAAATCATAATATCTAAGAGGAAAGGGTTTGAGCAATGACCTTTGGGCATGACGGTTCCTCAAGTACATTTCTTTCTGAAGCTGGCTTTCTGATAAAGTCCAAATATTTATTAATAGCATTACTCAGGTTGCTATTCTCACATAGAATGAATTTGTACAATGCATTAGCTGCTGCTTTGGCAAATGAGTCATTATTCACAAGGGATGCTCTCAAATCAGTCAACTGGCCAGGTTTTAGGTCAGGGAACACAGAGTACAAATAGGATGTGATCAAATAATCCAACACAGCATCACCAAGAAACTCCAATCTCTGTTAGCCATCAGAAATAAATACCCAATAAGTTATGCAAACGAGAATATTCATAAATAAAAAAATCATATATTCAAAATTTCGCAGCATTTCAGTCCAGTTACCTGGTAACAACCTCCTCCATGCTTATTATATGATGGATGTACAAATGCTTGCAGACCTAAGCCTCTGTGAACAAAATGATGACCCAAAACACATTCAATTTCAGAAATACTAATACGGTCTGCAAGTGACATAAACCTGGAGCTTGCCGTCCAAGCATGACATACTTGAGAAATTTCAAATTCAATATGTATACCAAACCATCCGAGAAACGCAATTGCCGATTTAAAGCCACTATCAACTATGTAGGCTCCAATTAATGCTTCAACTACATCTGCAATTGTTTTCTTGGTTAACCATTGATGATTCTTACTGCATCTAACTTGACGATTATCTACCAGAATTCTATCTTCAGAGACGCAATGAATTGAACTTTCCGTCTGCTTGGTACATATGACAGAGCAAGTCCGACCTAAAGCATAAAACTGGCTAGGATCGAATTCTTGATCACGTATGAATCCCTAAAGTATAGAAGTACTGCAATATAGTTAGATATTCATTTTTATGACTGATAAACACATTCAGATATCAATTTTATTTAAATGGCAGACTCAGCAACAAAACAAAGAATTCTTCTAATGGAAAGAATATAAAGAGGATCCATCTATCATCTTAAACATCAATTTATGGACTGTTGACCATTAGATATAACAATGATCTTGCAAGTTAAACAGTAAGGGAGAAATGCTTCCATGAACATAATAACAGAAAAAGGACAGAAATTATTTGGGGTGGTTGCAGTAATTGAGCACCATGCATAGCCAAATCAAACAAATATGAATCCATTAACTTCACACTGGAAGCTACAAAAACAAATATTTAAGAAACATTTCAGGTATGACATGAAATAGGAAAGTGAGCATTAGGGGACAAGCTGGTCATGTATTGATGTATAATAATATCATAGAGATGGTATGCAACTCAATAACAGACATAAAGGGTCAAATGAATTGGAGGGATTAGCCCTAGAAATTAACAGGAGAAATGACCCACACAAGGGTTATATTTAGGCATTATTCTAAAATAGGTGATTGATTTACATGTTTCACAAGGATTCACACATCAATTTTATCTGGAAAAAATCCCTTTGTAGAAATATGAATTTTCAGCAAAAACTTGTTTCTCTTCAAGGAGGAATGGATCAGAAAAATTAAAATTAGCATCTTCTGACTTTTAAGAATCTCTATTTACCTACCCATTCTCTCAGCTCAATTCCTCCCTCCATTCTTAAGTGTATTTTCCTCTCTTCCTCATAAGTCAACTTGACAAGCACAAAATTTGGCATAGAACATTTATTTCTCTGAAGCTTAAGCACACCAAGACCAAATTAAAGTGTGAATCCATGAACAGCAGCTAGTAAAGCAGTGTAAGCGTTTCACATGCTAGCTTTGCAATTGTTTAATATCGTTTGAAAACTAGCTTTGCAATTGTTTAATATCTTTTGAAAAGAAGGATAAAAATGCAATAGCAAGCAGAAGAAAAAAAAAGGTATTTATAAAACTTTCATAGCTTTTTAATTGTTGTAGATAACTAGAATCAAACTAGAAAGAAATGAATGTAAGAACTTTATGCACAAGTTTCGGTGCTTATATACGCAGAACTTAGACAACGATATATGAACACAAAAAAATTTAAGAAAATAGTCACAAAGATAAGACACAAGAGATACACATGGTTCAATCAACATGATCTACACAAAGGGTGAGTGATAGAGTGTTTCATTAAATTTCATGCATGTAATTCAACCAACATCAACTACTCCAAGGCTAAGAAATGGAGTGTTTGATTAGTTTTCATAAAGGGCTATTAAAAAAGCATGGCAATCAAAGAGAGTATACAAGAGAGCTCCCTAAACAAATACATGAAACTCTTTAAATCATAATATTAAAAGAAACCCAAATTTATCAATAATTCAGGAAAACAGAAATCCAAGAATCCAGCTATTAACCTGTAATTTGTTCTTAATAGCCAACTTGCATAAATTTGAATTGTTCACTAAATTTGAACGCCTCCTAGTCAACTGCCCTTCGTCAAAAGCTTCATGCTTAAGAAATAGGTGTCTCCCCACTGCAAACTTGAGAAAAGAATCACCAAGAACTTCAAGCCTCTCAAGAGAAAAGCCCTCATGGCATCTTTCTGTAGTCAATGCTTCAAAAACCTGGGAAGTAAAGCATAACGTAACCATGTCTAAGTTTATACCAAAATGCATCTCATCTTCAAGTTGAGAAAAGCAGTCATTTAATTAAACAAAATCATAGAATTGAAACTTCATAATCCATCCATAAAAGTGGCCTTACGCGTTCAGCAGTAACCACCACTCCCTCGGGAAATGACTTTGACAACATATCTTTCAATTCAAGTGCTACAAGAAAGCTTTCCAGGCGATGCATGACAGATGGCAACAGAGACAATGAACTCCCAATGTCCTTAGAGAAGCCAATTATCTTTAGTTCACATAGCTCAGGAGGCAATTCGAAGAAGTACTCGTCTAGTTCATGTGACTCTGATAATGACCAAGGAGAAGTTATAATCTCAGTAAGCTATAAACTGAAGTAAACAGCCCTAATTGAGTAACTCTGTATCATAGTGACAGTGAAACATGAAATAACTTGCTGGATTTAAAATTAAACTCCTTCAGTTTGGCCATGGAAAAAGTTTCACAATTTCAACAGGGATTTCAATTACAGCAATCAATAGCCACAAACCCCAAGCAAAGAGAGCAAAAGTAAAGTTTAACATATATGAGCTTCATATTACATTTGTCTTTATCTCTACCTAAATTTCTAATGTAGAGAACATAGAATAGGGAGCTAAATTTGCATTACAAATTTGTAAAAATAAATAGGTATAATCACAATATTGGGGGGGCAACATCTCAAATCTTCATCAAGCGTGTTAATTTTCCTCTCAATAATGTATTTTTATTTAAAAACTACTCCCTCTGTCTCTTTTTGGTGTTCTCGTTTTGACTTTACACGGTCTTCAAAACTTAGCTTTGACTATCAATATCTCCAATTATGTATAAACAAAAAATATAAAAACTTGATTTTATAAAACTACAAATTGAGATGTAAGTAACAATTTCTCACATGATTATGTTTTTTTATACATATTAATGAAAATATTAAGTTTCAAAAGCTTATAACAAAAACGAGGGATTTTATAAAAAACACACACATACGCACGCACACATGCACACGCACGCACACGCACACGCACGCACGCACACACGCACACACACGCACACGATACAACTTACAACTAAAGTATTTCAATCTTGGATTGACTAAAATACAAAGAAATGATGATAGATTGCTTTGTGGTTGGGACTGCCATCAGCTATCCTACAATCCTAGCCACATTCTTCTTGACAATTTTTTCCCACTAAATTTGAATCCCATATTTTTTTATTCTAAAAAAAATAGATATAATCACAAATTTCTTTTCTTTTTTTTTTTTTGGGGGGTAAATCTTAAATCTTCATCAAGCGTGTTAGATTTCTCTCAACAATGCATTTTATTTAAAACTACTTTTGCAAAAAAAAAAAAAAAAAAAAAAAAAAAAAAAAAAAAAAAAAAAGTTTAGGATCTTATGCAGGAACCCACCCAACACCCTTAATAATGTTGGGAAAGGGATTGAGGGTTTTGAGAAAAATGATTGGATTTTTACATGATACATTATACAATCTAAACTATTGCTTCTAATAAATTGTTGAGCATATTGCGATGCAACTAAGGTCCATGACGAAATTGTTGCTAAGCAATTTTTGTGCTTTAGAATGAATAACAATTTGGAATCTTTAGATCTCATTATGGATAATGATATGCTACTTCTTCCATGACAATTTCCTATTCAGCAGTCAAACAAAAATGCACAATTTCAATAAGAGAACTGCAAAGAATTAAGGTGAATCCCCTTCCCATGCCAACACATGTTACAAAGAGTAGGAAGGGCAAGGAGGTAATTGATGCAGAAAGTTGATCACAACGGTAGCGAGGGCCTTGAATAGTCATTTTGTTAGAGTTGAAGGGTAGAGGAAGAGTAAAAAGGAAATCCGTACAAGGGGGGCATTCAAAAATTAAGTGAGAAAAACTAAAAGGAGAGCATCCGTTATGTCGAAGCAATTGTCATTAAATTGTTGTAATCAATGTAATCATCTACAAATTTTGCCCTCAATCAATCAATCAAATCCTTAATCCCATGAGCGGAAACGGTTACATGAACCAAAAGTGATTATTCAGCATAGTCATCCACAAAAAATTTCCTCCTCCATCCTTTTGGATCAAAAACCTCATCCTCATGCAAATCCATTTGCTTCATATCCTTCATAACTCCTAACCAAGTCATTTTCGATCTCCCTCTACCTCGTTTTAACTCTCCATGATCCCACTCTTCCACTTTTCGTTTCGGTGCACCACGAGGTCTATATCTCACATGCCCGAACCAATGCGGGCGAATTTCTCTTAGTTTGACTGCAATGCCTACAACACCCATTTTCTTGCGAATAACATCAATTCTGATTCTATCACTTAGAGTGTTCCCCCACATCCATCTTAACAAGCGCATTTTCATAACCTCTATGTTTTTTACGTAATCCTTCTTAAAAGCCAAATATTATGTACCAATGTACCATAAAGCAACACTGGTCTTAAGGCAGTCCTATAGAATTTCCCCTAAATTGTAAAGGAATGTTTTGTTCACATAACACTACTATGGTCACTCTCCCTTTAAGCCACCCTCACTTAATCCTATAGGCCACGTCATTGTCGCCATTCTTCTGGATGATTAACCCAAGATATTTAAAACACTCACTCATGGTCAAATCCTTTCCATCCAAATTCACTCCATCATTGCTTGTCCCCCTCTGTATACTAAAGCGGCAAACCAAATATTCAGTCTTACTCCGACTTAGCCTAAACCTTCTAGATTCCAATTTATGAATTCTGCCCTAATATTCTATAATTCATTCTCATAATCTTTCTTATTTCTAATATTGAAGAGAATTCATAGCAATAATATTTTCCAAAACAAATTTTTTTTTTTTTTTTTTTAAAAAAACATGTGAAATATGTGTAAGCAAAAGAGGGCAAGAGGCAGTACCTGAATTCCCCGTTGGGCGGTCATGCAACAAATTGTGTAGGCAAAAAAGCTGTTTAGCTTGTAGTAGAGGTTGTCCAGGGTGAGTTAGATTGATTTCAAACCTGGTACAGAAAATGCATGAATCAGTACTAAGAAAAAGGCCTTACAAAATTTGAGATCCAGAAACAAATCCATTATACGGCATGGCCAAAGTCCATACAAAAGGAAAGAAGTTCCAAAGATAATTACTAAAAAAAAAGGGAAATTCTTTAGATTGAGTGAGAAACTTCTCATTTTTCTTTAGCAGGCCCATTGGTTATAAGCCCATTAGCACTTTCTACACGGTTCCATTTTCCTAACTTTTCCAACACAATTTTATCTATCACTCAACACCAATGTGCTATAACTGATCATTAAAGAATCACAAAACAAGAACTAAATTATTATGTGACAGTTTTGATACCAACATGATAACTGTCCGTGTGCATAGCCTTAAAGACACTTTCTAAGGAATGGAAGGAGTATATCTAGTACCTCTTAATCTCTGATATTTCAGGATTCCAATTCATTCTTAAATTCTTCACTATTTTCTTCCATAGCAAGATATACTTTCCTTCCTACTATAAATTTTGGAGGGTGGAAAAAAGATGAAAACACATTTGACCAAAATCACAAGATGGAGGATAAAAAAAATATGTTGCTTCATATGACTTAAAACAGCATGTGGTTACTGCAACTCAAAATAAGGACTATAGTTTCTTAAAAAGCATTGTTATAGCAAAAGAGTTTCTCCCATCTACATAACTCATTGTTTTATCAATCAAGAAACAGCTGGATAGCTAATGGGAAAACCAAGAAGAAATAGCATTTTTTTCAGAAACAACATAAAACTTAATGGTGAATTATATCAAATGAGACAAAGAAGGTTAATACATACTTTTCACTCAGGTGATCTACATGGCTTGTAGAACTGTTGACAAGACTATGGCCATTCTTGTCAGGAAGAATTTTAGAAACAAAGAAGAATGACTTTCTGTGGTCAACATATATTAAGCTATTTAGGATATCATTCACACTGGCAGGCCCATCAGCAAGCTGCAAATGACTATCCAGAGAAATACAGGTATCCGATAATTGATCGGGAGGCGCGAATATTGGCGATGACAAACACCTCCTAATGGTCATCCAATCCACAGATATTGAGCTGTCATATTGTCGAGAAATGACAGGGAGCAACAGATAGAAGACGGATGAACTCGATTCATTAACTTTATTTTTCTCAAGGGGAACATGACCACACATGAATTCAGACCTATCAAGGATGATCTTCAGGCACATTTCCTGAAAATTCAGTGCCTGCAGCATCTGGGTTCAAAAAAAAAAAGGGAAGATGAAGTATTCCAGCAATCTCACATAAGAAACAAAAATTGATATTTTAAACTGCCATGAAATGTGATGATGATATAAGTACCTCTTCTTTGCTAAATTCTGCAACTCCAAAGGGAATCAGATCAGTAAACACAGATCTACCATGGGCAAGATGAAGATCAATCTTCATTTGCTCAGCCTCAAGAGGCAGAGGTGATTTTATAAAAAGTCCGAAGTCTTTATACTTTCTATCATGTGGTTTAGGTTTAAACCTTATAAAGTAGGAGTACAGACAAACAAGGTTGTCCTGATCAGACCAAGGTTCCTTCAATGCAGCCGGAATTACCATCTCCTGTAGCTCATAAGGTGAATCCTCATCTACAAATAATCAATCAAACACTACCAAATTCATATTCAATAGGCATGGAAGCAATCACAGTTGATAAATGACAATATTATACCTTCAGTGCTCTCAGAATCAGAAACATCATGGCTTTCCCTCACATCATCTTGTTCTGGCAACAGATACTCAGTTAAGGCACCAACTTGATGCAATTCTTCACATGCCCTTAGACAAGCATCTTTCTTAGCTGCTTCTTTTGAAGATTGAGGTGCACTCACTATGTGATTAATAGGAGCGTTAGAAGGAAGAATAATGTGGCATATGATTCCTTCCGTATCATCAACATTATAGAAATCTGGCATAGGGGAAAAGTATCTGCGCAGAGTTAAATATGTGATATATCAGTTACTTCATTGACTAAAACTGGAAAAGTCATTGGAAACATAGAAAGCACATACTCATCATGTGGCAATTTAGAGCAATAATGGTAGAGCAATGAAACGCCAGTTTGAGTACTAATGGTAGCACCAGTTGAATCCACTGAATATATCTCTTCTTTGTTATTGGCAATAACTCCGTTGGGTTTTCTGTCTCTAATATTCATGTTCATGAGATTCTCATCTTTCCTAAAACTGTCCATCAGATTTATTTCTCTCTCGCTTTCACTGCAATGATATAAAAATTTATTCGATCTTACATAAGAACACACAAAATCATACTATATCATAGCACTTGTAAGCTCAGGAAACAACCTGTCGACCAAAAAAATATATTCTGATTGAGGCATTCGTGCACGACCTCTGGATTGTATAAAGCTTGCCAGAGTTTCAGGAAGATCAAACCGTATTACAAGACAGCATGTCTGTATATCAAGTCCTTCTTCACCAACTTTAGTAGCAACCAACAGATTCAGCTGCCAAATCACATTATTAACCAGAGTTTGGACATCACCAATAAGCAAGGAGTAAATTTCATTTCTTCTATAAAGATAAAGGATATAGATACAACTATTAGTTATTAGTGTCCAAAAGGAAGAAGATGGGTTCTGCAACAAGTTTTGAAAAAATATTTGATCAGTACACCTACATTCATTTAAACAACAGGAGATGGGTTCTGTTGGTAATGCAGTACAATTCCAATCATTCTAATCATAATGTTCAAGTCATCCAAAAGTGATACAATAGCAATGTGCTAATTGCTTACAAAACAATATCTTGATTCCGTACCATGCATAATCTACACAACGTTGCAAGCACGCACACATGCACAAGCACAAAGATTAAAGGCAGACAAGAGAGGGAAATAATTAAAGTCAACATCAAAAACTTGCTTAGATTCTCCCAGGAAACATAAATGCTCTCCAACACAAAAGAGCTAGATTCAAGTTTATCTTGGGAAACAGATGAATACAAAGTATCACAGCAAGAAATTACCTTTCCAGACCGAAATTCTTCTAAAATATTATACATGGTTTTTCTGGACATACGCTTTGAGTGGACTCCAACCAAGTAATCGCACTTCCAAGCAGATAAGATCTTAATTTGTCCAAGGATATATGCCAAAGATCTGGCAATGATAATCCTATTCACAAATATTATACATTTCATATCACGCCTTGACCTGAAAAGGAAAGCAAACCAGCTTAGCTTTGAGCAACACAAGAAAACATGAAAACAACAGTCATGATATGTGGACTCTGACATACAAAGGGGATTGGAAGGTGTAGATGTACACAAATGAATCTAAAGTAATAGAGAGACCAGCTAACTGGAAGCATACAAACTATGAATCTCCACATAGTCACCAACGAAATAAATAAATAAAAAAAAAACCCAGACAACTTTAATTTTAATATTTCCCACTCATAATAGGTATTACTAAATCTGTAAGCTGTGACAATGATAACAACAATCAAAGCTTTCTATATTAGCTTTGATCCAAGCAATTTAATGCGATAATTTTCTCTTTCCAAAAGCTCTAAATGTCTGCAACAAACTCCAAATCAAAACCCAAGAATAGGCAACATAAAATGTCATTTTCACTGAACTTATCCAGGCCACTTATTTCAGTGAGTCTCATAAACAGATAAACTGTCAGCGGATCTAACAATTACGACAAATTACAATGGCTCATCAGAACTGGATAATTTAGCAAGGTATATTAGGCAATTGTAGGTTTGAGGACGGAAAAAGTGAGGGGGGATTTTATAGGTGTTAGAAATTTTGAAATGACAGAAAATAAAATAAAAATGACAATAATAGCCTAGGCCAGCAGGCCCAACACAATATGTATTCACCTCTTTCTTGTTGTAATTGGTGGAAATCGTATTTGGAAGACTTTTGATGTGTATGGGTAATGGGGTAGTCTTGAGTTGTTTTGTTTTGTTTTTTTTTTTTTTTTTTTTTTTTTGGGGGGGGGGGGGGGGGGGCTGTAGAGGATTTCAATTAGTGGGCATTGAAAGGGCGAAGGAGAAGAAAAAACGACAAAATTCTTTCATCACGATCCGGTGGTGCATGTGGCTAGAACAACTGAACAATATCAATATCCACAAATTTTCTTAGGAATTGTTTTAAGTGATTTGTTATGGGATATAGTCAGCTATTTATCCCATAAATGAAAGATCTCTTGAAAGATTCTAGAGCATGAAAAAAAAAGGATGGAGAATAAAATTCAATTTCAAACAACCACAACTTAGCATCAATGTCCAGCACAATCTCAAGCCTAAGTGCTCAAATACGAACCTGAAATTTGACAAGATTCCAACAAGACGCAAAACCTTTTGCGAGAAAAATGGCTCCCTTAGAAGCTTGTTACAAAACATGTCAGCCGTTCCTTCAGTGGCTTCTGCTAAATTAAGATATTTAAGTATAAAATGCTCGCCAATTATAATGCTGAACATGTAAGAAATGGTAGCACAAACAGAAATTTTCTTGTTAGAGATATTAAGCCTTAAACAAGACATTAAATTAGTAAGTTTAGAGCAAAGTCATTAGTATTAAAAACGCTAAAATGCTGCACAATGCTTCATACCTCCCATACACTCTGCGTCTAGAAGAGATGCAGTCTGAGCAAGATACTCATTTTGTAACAAGTCATCACTGGAGTTTCCTTTTGCATCTATCAGCTCATCTCTCTCCCAGACACCACCATTCAGAAGGATGTGACATGCCTGAAGAAACAACCAGAAATATGCATATATGAAGAATATCACATCTGAAATAAATCACTATTTTTTTTTTTTCCAAAGTACAATAAAAAACAAGTGTGATTTCTTATGATTTTAATAACATTGACATAAATAGTAAATGAAGGTCACGAGTTCACCTCATTAAGGCAACCATCTTGTGTACGTGTGTGCATGCGCGCGCGCGTTTGTTGTATGTGTGCATGTGTACGTTTGTTGTTGTTGTTGTTGTGTATATTCAATAGGTGATACTGATTAATATTAACAAGCAACCAACGAAATATTTGTTGTAATATTTCACAAGGTAGTCTTCTAACAACATATGTAGGAGCAATCCCACATAGAAAGATTAGAGAAGTTTGTGTTGATTTATAATGTAGGTGTACTTTTGATGATATCAACATTATACTTATTTGTTTGTTTCCCACACTGACAAAATAAAATGGGCTTGTAATGTTTATGTTACTTGGATCATTTTATTTTGCAAATTAGGGAGTCCCACATGGATAATTTAGTTTGGAGTTTAGATGTATATAACGCTTGCATTATTATATATTTTTGAAAATAGAGCAAAGATTATACATGAGCTTAGTGTTGGTATATGTACTATTTATATCATGAGCTTAATGTTGGTATATGTACTATTTATCATGCCTTCATACTACCACAAATTGCATAGCAAAACATCTATTACTTATTGAAAAGAACCTGGATTTCCATTGTAATGCTTTACCGCAAGAAATATGAGACTTACTTGCAATGCTCCCCAAAGGCCGAGGCTGGTTAATGAAAACACCATGTTGTTATGAAGTTTTTGCAGAAGTTTCTTGGTGTTCTGTACTCTAGCAAGATCATCTCCAGTCCTGGAAAGCATAGATGTACACTACTTGCAAACCATAAGGCCCAAAACAACTAACATTTTAATACTAAAAGCTAAATCAAAAAACAGTATAAAGATGGTGTGCAATTCAATGATACCTGACGTTTAACCTCCTCCAGTTTATCCAAACACTTCTTTTGAGCGCTCGACATTATTTCGCTTGAGCTATAGTGATACACTTCAACCACAGGAGATACAACAACTGTTTCCAGTTCTCTCTTGTCATTAACAGTATAAACCTGACACAAGGAAGAAATGATGTTTATGGAGCCCAATGAAAGATGCATACTAACACACAAAACACATTACACAAATTAATACATGCATGCACACACATAGATAAATACATCCTTGTATGTGAGGTATATGTACACATGCATATAATATAGTGTGCTAGAATGCACACCAAACAAGCATGGGTGTGTATCTACCAAGTGAAACACAAGTTGTACATCAACACTGCTGAAGAATCAAATCAATGTGTTATGGTTAGTTTATTTATAAGTAGATAATAGATTCTATAATTGTCGCATGATGCATTATAAATGCATATGCTTGCAAGTTCTAAACAGTCTAACACCCACCTTAGCATGAAGTAAAGCTTGAAGACTATTGATAGAGGCCCCTGAAATGGAAAATCAAAAGGTTTGATTAAAATGGCCAAAAATAAATGACAACTGGCAAGCATTTACTTTCATATAATACTAAACGTCTACAACGAACAAAATATCCTGAAAGCAAGCACATTAACTTATTTTGTTCCTAATGTAGAATATCTGGTCAGAAGGAAGTACAATTTAATAGTAAGAGTCCAGCATGGAGAACAAGAGAAGAATCTGTCACTAACACCACCTTGTCTGAAGACAGCGTGTACATGTAAAGGCATTGTTGATGTCAATCATAATTAGCAGCGTTATTGCAATTAAAAAAATATAATTAAAATTCTAAACAAATAGCACATTCAAATGACCTAATACAATCTTTAAATCCTGCAAAGTCGCAATAATCCAGCAAGTATAGACCATTTTTTGGTAACTCTTAAAGATACTAACTTGTTAAATATAAATATTAAATGAAGGAAAATTAGAAGTTATATTCCGCAGAAATGGACGACGGTAGAAGAGAGAAGAAAGAACAAATACATGAAACTCAATTACCTTTCCCACATATAGGAGATGCAGTCATGCCAAAAATGCGCGGAACTTTATTAACCTTCGTATCGTAAAAGACCTACAATTTGTGTATGCAAAGATGTCAAAATCTCTATACCTTCAAAAATGGCATAAAATAAACATAGACTAGACCTTTACCTTCATAATCTCTGCGTAGGGATGATTACTCTCAAGTTGCGCATAATGACACTCATCAAATATTAAGAGAGCAACTGACTCCATCCTGATGAAGCAATGGCATAGATTACGTAGCAAAACTTGTGGAGTCATAACAAGAACCTGCACACAATAAGAGATAACTTTTATAGTAGTCTTTATGGAGTCAATACAATTAATGCAGTAGAACTGCAAGGAATCTATTATCTATCAGACAGTTCACAGAAATTCTTCATTGACAAAGGTAAATGTTAAGTCAACACCTTAGCCAAGCTGATTCCAGGGTGTCCTGTCTAATGGCTTGGCTAAACATGAATAATCTTTTATCAGAAGGTTTGCTGTTATCAGACCAAACCACGCCCATTTTGATTTCTCAAACCATTTTAAACTCTATATATTGAATATAATTCAGACGCCACATCCTCAACTTCAACCATCAGTGTAACTGTATAGTAATTCAACATAATCTTTCACTTTTAAAAGGCCACATTGTATCAAAAAGTTAATCTAACAAACAAACACTACAGACTTAAATGATAAAGTGAAACCTCATATTGCTCAAGCTCTCTTTCCCAGCCGATATGAGTCTTCAAATGTTTGGCATCATCACCACAGTAGGTTCCAACCTTGAAATCAGTGAAGTGTTGAATAACCCTAGCTTGCTGCAAGAAGAAGCACATGACACGTAATCACAAAACAATACATTAAAAAAAAAAAAATCTTACTACCTCCATTACATATTATTTGCAACAATTAGACATTTTTCCTCTCTACCTCTCTATTTTATGTCAAATCGTTGCAAATAATATGTAACGGACTTAGTAGAATCCAAGTCGACAGGAAGAGACAGAGAATGGAAAATGGAAAAACCTGATGAACTAATACGACAGTAGGAGCCAAGAAAATACAGACATTGTTTTGAGGCTTTCTTATAAGGTCAGCCATATCACACATTAATAGAATAGCAATAAGGGTCTTCCCACAACCAGTCTCTAAAACCACAATCACATTTTCATCCAAAGCTTTTCTTGCCAATTCTAACTGATACCTGCCAAAAAAAAAAAAAAAAAAAAAAAGTATGATGACATCACTTCAACAATTTGACAGCATCATACCCAGAAATGCAAGGTATCCCAATAAACTGAAAATGAAAATGACAGATATCCACAATAATCTTACACACTAAGCAAACCCTTTATCAAAATCCAACGTTAACAAACCAATAAATAAATAAATAAATGGTATGACAATGACGATCATAATAAAATCAGAACATCAAAATAAAAATCAAATGAAGTGTTTGATGAAAAGCAAGTACGAGTATAATTATAAAAAGAGTAAGAGCATACTTTCGAGCTATAATCCAGGGATCTTCCTTCGGAATAGGGGGAATTAAAGTGATCCCCGACTCAATTTCTGGGGAAAAATCATCAGCAGTTGGAGAATAATCGCCCATGACTGAGTATAAAATCTGAGAAATGTGCTCATCCAAAATTGAGGTTGCAGAGACTATAGAGAGAAAGTATTGTAGAGAGAGAAAGTGATGCTTTCGAAATCAAAGTAAGAATGGGATTCGTTTCGTCATGTTTAAGACGACCGGACTATTTGCTGAACCCAACACCCATGGTTGGCCCTACTTTCCACCACTAGTCAATCTCAGGTCTTTCTTTTTTTTTATTTATTTGGTTTCAGGTTTTGGCCCATTAGGACCCTTCTCCTTACCAATTAAAAGTCATGATAGATCTTTTACATTTCTAATGATAGATCTTTTACATTTCTAATTTCCGTCAATTTGTTACTCCTTTTGTGTTATACTAAATGTTATAATTTGACCAAATACGTATGTTGAGATACGACTTTGACCGTTAATATATCTAATTATATGTTAGTAAAATTATAAGTATGAAATTTGATATTATAAAAGTATACATTATAATGAATTCAACAATGTATTATACAATAACATTTATTTTTTATATATTAGAAAAATAATCAAGTCAAAGTTATAATGTGAATAGTGAAAAAGGTCAAACATTAACACTTATTAAAACACAAAGAGAGTAGATAACATTTTTTCCAAAAAAAATTGTATTACAAAACCTAAACATTAACATGCACACAGCACACATGGCAAGCGAATTTTTGATAGATTTGTACTTCGTACTAGTGGCGGATCCTGAAATTGTAGCTAGGGGCTCAAACTTCATCAAACACCCGATATCCAAATGCACGGATATGAAGCGGATATTCAAGTATAAAAATAGAGTGTTCAAATAAATAGCAATACACAAGTACATAACAAAATGGGTCTAAATTTCAATAAAATTGCAAAATAAAATGATTAGATACAATAATATATAACTTTAAAGTTTGAACATACTCATTTGGAACAGTGATTGATGTTTAAGTATTCATACTAGCCTCTTAGTGACCTCCAAGACTGGTTTGAAGTTATGGCTCCTTACTTTCACGCTACAATGTTTACATTTAGCAATTAATCTGGAATTGATTCACGACATTTGCCTGTGAAAGAAATTTTGAAACATAAAATTTTGTTTTTTTGTAGAGATTCTTATTTTATGATTTTGTTTTGAAGAAAAAAAAAATTAAAATAAGTATATATATATATATGTATATATATATATGCTCAAAGAGATAAGAAGATGAAACATCAAAATAAAAAATAAAAATTTAAAGTACGGCATCTACATGGTTTTTTTTTTTTTTTTGCTATTCTCTAACTTAGGTTGTTCATTTTATTGAGAAGACTTGCCTTGAGTTCAGATAAGGAGGTGAAATTAACCTACTGTTTGTCGCAAAAAGGTGAGAGGGAAGCGAACCCATGAAATGATAACGAGTAAGATAGATTGCCCCATCTTCCAATGAAACAATTGTGATACAACCAAGGAAAAAAAAACACTAAAAATGTGTCCTGGCAGACTCGAACCGCCTAACTCTAGGGTGACCTATCAAACTGAGCTACACACAAAACATTTTATATAATTTTTTCAAATATTATTTATATAGTTTTTCTGTTTTTTTTTTTTTTAATAACAAAATTCCAACTTTTTTTCCCAGATCCAACGGGGTTCAGTTGAACCCCCTGAAACTCCCCCGGGGCCCTACGTACTTTCCACCACTAGTTATTCTCAGGTTTTTTTTTTCGCTTCAGGTTTTGGCCCATTAGGGCCCTTCTCCTTACCAATTAAAAGTTATGATAGATATTTGACATTTTTGATTTTCGTCAATTTGTTACAAAACTTTTTTCCAAAAAAAAATGTATTACAAAACCTGAACATTAACATGCACACTTGACAAGCGAATTTTTGATATTTAGTAATTAGTACTCCATCCGTTCCCTAATTAATGTTTTTTACGTTTGGAATTATACGCGGGTATTAGAAATTTTTGTAAAGTTGAGATATGTTGGAATATTTCAATGATTGAAAGTACAATTTTATTGAAAAATACAATGTTGAGCATGTGGGGTGAAGAAATTAGAGGAGAGAGGAGAGAGAAAGTAATAATAAGTGTTGAAAAACTATTAAAGTAGTACAAAAAGTACAATAGCACATGGAAAAGTAAGGACTTTTGAATAAAAATTGTAAAACAAAGGTAATTTTGTCCAAAATTTATGACTTAAATAGAAAAGATACTAAATGTAAAGAATAAAAAGGAACACCCTAAATAGAAACGTAAAAAGCATTTAGGAACGGAGGGAGTAGTTATTTTGGAGTTTTATTTTCCATAAAGTTATATAGTTTTATTTGCATAGAATATAACTTTTACATACTTGTAAGTTTTAGATCATAAAATTCGTTTTACAAAGTAATTAAGAACGAGATTCATTTTCATTTTTATGTTACATTATAATCGATTAAATGTAATAAAATCCAGTTTCAACTAACTAATTAAAGTACACAATAAAATCTTATAATAATAATAAGGTTAATTTTTAAATTACCACAAAAAAATGAAACCATTTTCGAACTAACCACCAAAAAATATAAAAATAAATAAATTATCACCCCTTAAATTAAATAAATGCTCAGATTACCACCCAGTTTGAAAATCCGGTGGGTTTCTGATCTGTGGGTCCTACGTAACGGCTAAAAACAGCTATTTTCAGCTTTCTAATTGTTTTCCACCCCAATCTTTCTTATAAAGCTCTTCCCCTAATTCAATTTTCAATCCTACTTGCAATTTATTCACAAATTTGAGCTCATTTGTTATTGCAACCGCATATTCAACAACGAAAGAACTTGTGTAAAAATTAGGGTTCTTGTGACATTGTAATTGGGGGAATTTGTGGGCTTAATTAGTTAGGGAGATAGCGAAGAGAGATGTTGTCGCTAACGACGGAGGCGCAGAAGATGGCGGAAAGAGTAGCGATCTTCGCAAATTGAACACGAGATTGAACAATTTGCATCTGAACAACCTTCAACCAAACAATGACGATGTAACTGAAGAGAGAACAAGCTATCATATGACACATTGTTAGGAAAATTGGGTATTTGAATCCATAATTGCTCAACAAATACTTGTTTAATAGGATTACGTCAATGTTTGAGGAGTACCAGAAGGTAATTAATCTGATCGTGAAGAGTTTTCCAGTGCTTTTCATTTCAATCGGATTTGAATGGATTGAATCGATTTGATTTGATATGGTGAGAAATTTCTAATTTGTATGGGTGTTTGATTTGGTGGTATTAAAAATTCGGGTTTTTTGATTGATTTGGGGAAGATGAGAAATGTGAAGAAGAGAGAAGAAAGGGGAAGAAATTAGAGTTGGAGGAGAGAGAAAGAAGGTGGGATAAAGGGAGCTTTAATGTCGAAAGAGGTGGAGTAGGAGGAGAAGATGATGAAGTGAAGAGAAGAGAGGAGAAATAAGAAGAGAAATAACTAAAGTGGGGCCCACAGGTCTAAAGTTCACCGGATTTTTAAAATGGGTGGTAATCTGAGCATTTATTTAATTTAAGGGGTGCTAATTTAAAATAAATTTTTTACATTCATTATATCTTCCACAAATTTTGAATTGTTGTTGGCTACATCACATGACTATCCATCATATAAGAATTGCAACAGTCTTTGTGTAATGGCTTAAGCAAAAAGTTAATATCATCGGTTACACTTGCCTTTATGAAATGACACTTTCTCTTTTATCTTTTCTATTCAAAGTTACCACACAAACCAAGCGTGACACAATAGTCACGAGTTTAGGACGTGATAGAGTATGAAACATATCTTCGGGCTTTAACCATAACCTTAAGTTTTTGGTTGAGAGGGTTGTTTAACATTGATATCGAAGCCAACTTGAAGTTGACACAACGGTCGCAGGTTTGAATCTCATCCACCCCCCATTTTCAAGTGAAATAATAAGCACTAGATGTGAGGAGTATAAAACATATTCCTAACTTGCCGAAAGAACTTGACAAGGAGAGCACTAGACTTTGAATACAGCTTGAAGAAGGCAACGGAAAGATCAGAAACTGTAGTATCAATTATTAAGGAATCACGAGCTAGATTTAACATGTCCGTGAGCTAACATCACAACAAAAATAATTCATCACTTCTTAAACATGTCTTTTGGTCACAAGTCTGCTAACAGGCAGCAATCTTACATCACAACAAAAATCAAGAAAAAGGAAATACAAAAACACAGCAGAAGGAAAGAAAAGGCTTAGAACTATAGCCATCAAATGCATCAGCAATCTTAGCTGCATATGATTGGTTACAAAGTCACTGCAGCTGTTGCCTGTGTATATTAGTATGTACTTTAATTTCTATAATCTAAAGTATGCTCTTTTGATTTTTACATTCAACTATTCGACCCAGATAAAATATTCACGACATCCTTCATGGACGGTCGGTCAGATGACCTGCTTCTGGTGCAGAGTAAAGCAACTTCAAGCATCAAACTTAGTTCCTTCCTCAGAGTATCTTGACGACTCACTTCATTTTCCCTGCATATCTCCTCTAAAAGATCTTCAGCTGGCTTGTTTAGTATACTTTTACTCACATTTTGTGTCCTTCCATTAGTCAAGATTTCTAGGATGATGTTTCCAAAGTTAAATATGTCCATGTACAGCTCCTCATTAACTGATGTGTATTGACCTGGAAAAAGGATTTAAATGAGATTTATAATCACCAGATGACTAACTGCTACGAGTATACGATTGAAAGAAGCTATGAAAACGTAGAGAAGCATACCTGGTTGCATTTTGGATGTTGTGACTGGGAATGAACCTTTGTTAAGCTGCATCAAAAACCGGAAACCAAATTCAGTCAACTGGGGCTCCATACTTTCAGCAAACACAATGTTGCTTGGCCTAAGGTCGCCATGAGGAATGGCTGGATAACAGTCGTGATGAAGATAGCATAGGCCCTTAGCGATACCCAGCACTATCTTATACTTGGAAGTCCAGTCCTGCCTTGCCAATATCTTCTCAGCTACGTTACCATTCGGCAAGTAATCATACAGAAGGTACACAAGATCCTTGTTGTAGCAATAACCAAGCAACCTAGTCAAGTTTTTGTGCCTTGCATTGCCCATTTGGATGATCAACTCTTCCATCACTTCCATTCTCTGTGGATCCCACTCGATCTTCTTCACTGAAACTGTTATGCCTGTTGGCAAGGTGACTTTGCAAATCGGAGAAGATACTAACGGATACTGTAATGTGTCCATAAACTCTGGAGAGCTAAAGCTCTTCAAGACATCATATGCAGTGAAGTTGGGAAATCCAGCGAAAGATATCATTTTCCATTGCCCTTTTTTTCTCTCTTTCTGGATATAGTATACCCCAGAGACAGCAAGGGCTATGAAGACAACAACTGCTGCACAAAGTACCAGTACCCACAATAACTCAGTTTGGATTTCCTTAGAATTCCGGCATGCCTGCAACGGCACCCCACATAACTTTGGGTTGCCCTGAAAAGCACTGCTATCCATCAATCTAAAATTGCTGTTCTCTGGAATTGAGCCAGATATATCATTGAATGACACATTTAGTAGCAGCAAACTTGTGGAATGACCTAGTCTTTCAGGGATTTCACCACTGATGTTATTATGAGATAGGTCTATGATACTAAGGCCATGGCAATCTGAAATAGTTTCTGGCATATTCCCTAACAGGTAGTTTGCGCTAAGTTCCACAACAGTAAGAGATTTGCAAGATTGGAAAGAGGGAATACTGCCTGATATGTTACAAGAGGAGGCTGAGAAGTTGCTAAGAAGTGGCAAGGACCATAGTTTTGGTGGGAGTTTACCTCCAAGCTCCGGGTTGTTGGAGACATTCAAGTATTCAAGCTTAGAAGCTCGAGTAATATCCTCAGGCACACCACCTGTTAACTTATTACTTGACAAATCAACATATGAAATATCAGAAAGACTGCCAAAGCTCAATGAGATTGGACCTGATAGTGAATTATATTCGAAGCGAATTCGCACCAGAGATGAACAATTGGAGAGAAAAGGAGGAAGCTCGCCAGCAAAATAATTAGAGAATAAAATAAGCTTGGAGAGCATGCCATTAGCACAAAGATTAGGGGGTATGCTTCCACTGAAATTGTTTGATGAAACATCCACCAACTTCAGGTTTGAGTTAATCCCCAAGCTATTAGGGAGCAACCCAGAGAAAAAATTGTTCCAAAGTAGAAGAGTATCCAACATAGGAAGATCTGCTATGGCATGGGGAACAGTGCCACTCAATTTATTTTGAAAAAGGCTGAGCAAAGATAGATTCTTTAGCTCTGAGAAACTCTCTGGGATTTGCCCAGAAAGCTGATTGTCAGAAAGATCCAAGCTTTGCAGAGAAACCAACTTGCTGAAGTGTGAAGGAATAAGGCCATTAAGCTGGTTTCTGAAGAGGAAAAGGGATTGAAGGTTAGCCAAATTGCTAATCTCTTTTGGGATTGGACCTGAGAGATTAGCACCAGCAATATCAAGGTATTGAATTTGAGGCATATTACCTAATTCCCAGGGGATGCCTCGTTGGTAGGAGTTATAGCCAATTTCCATGTGTGTCAGAGTTTGAAGCTTGCCTAGTTCTGGAGGAATTTCACCACCAAGAAGATTCCCAGCTAGGTGGATAAACTCTAGACTCTTAAAATTCCCATATTCTGAAGGAATTGGCCCACTGAAGTAACTTCCAGCAAAGTTGACAACTTTGAGTGACTCAACCTGTGAAACCTCAGCTGGCAAAGGCCCTGAAAAGCCATTGCTAAAGGCATCAAGCACCACAAGCTTCTTTAACCCTGAAACACCACTTGGAAATTTGCCAGAAAAATTGTTCCTACTAATGTCTAAATTCTTTAGGTTTGTGAGGTTAAAGATTGAAGGAGGAAGCTTCCCAGAAAACAGATTATGGCTGAAATTGAGGCTAACAAGATCAACAAAGACAGCAAACTGTTTACCAGAAAGTTCGGCGGCGAGGCCTCTGGCTGAGAGGTCCAACCCAATAACCATGGTGGAGTTGCTGTTGCAAGAAACCCCGGACCAAGAACAAGCAGTAATTTCATCAGATGGGTTTTTGTTGGAAGGCATAAACCAATCACCCAAGGCATTATAATTATCTGAAAACTCAGATTTTAAGCTCAACAATGCATCAGAGAAAACATCAGCAGAAGCTACAGCAGCAATGGAAGCAACTAGAAGAAACAACAAGGTAAAGGTTGCTGAGATATCCATTGGGACTTGGACTATCAATATTTAGAGAGAGAGAAGAGTAGTTTTTGGTGGGGAGTGAAGTGGAGTGGTGTACTAGTAGCTATTTTCAATTAGTTCAAAGTAACCAAAAATGGGGAACAGTGTTGGTGACTTTGTGTGGGGTGAATGAGGAGGAAAGAATCATAGATCATAAATCATATTGCATGGGAAACAGAGATTAGTAGTATTACTCATTGCACTACTCAACATCAGTAACAAATAAAGGAGGGAACAAACGGGGACCATTCTTGCTTTTATTTAATCTTGACTTATTGGGTGATTTAGTATAAAGTTGCTTCATCATTAACATCTTTATCTTCCTTTTTCATTTTTTTTAATGAGAATCCAATACTAATAATAATACTAATTGCATTGCTTTGGAGTTTTAAAAGAAGGCCCATTATATATTTTATATATTATGAATGAATTTATAGGATGTGTTTTCCATCCCATCATCAAAATCAATGATTAAACATAGAGTATATAGTCATATGGCAGAAGCTTGCCGGAGAAGGTGCTAATTCATTTTTAAAATAGTGCCATGATTTCATCAAAATGTTTAATACTTTAATAGCTTAATTAGCACTCCGTATTATAATCTAATGTAAGAGGTACATGTATACAAAGCTTTGTAGGAAGAAACAGGGGAAGAAAGTAGTGCACAAAAACCGGGGCAAATAATATGTTAATCGGAAATTAAGCTAATGTACAATTAGTAGTAATAATTTAAATAAATGATAGACTCCATAATCTTAGCTGGAATGCTATTACTTAGGGATTTGTTAAACATCGCCCACAAATTACTACATAAAGCCCACAAAATTCACTTGGTTTTCCTAAATTGCCCTTGACCTTAAAAAAAAAAAAACACTCACACTCTCATCACTCACACTCTCATCACTCACACTCTCATTGCTCATCTTCTTTCAACCTCTCTAAAAAAAAAAATTCAAAATAACGGCAATGTCGAGGCGGCAAGGCAAGGAAGTGGCGGCGGCGGCGGAGGGAAGGATGTCCCAAGGTGGAAAGGTATATTTTGTTTAAAAAAAAAAAAAAAAAAAAGGGGAAAACCGCCGTGAACGCGGTGGGGCGCCCTGGCTGGACGCCCAGCCGGCGGTGGTGGCGCCAGATGCAGACGCCGCCACCAGTTGGCTGGCGCCTGGGCTGGACGCCACCGCCACGGTTGCGGCGCTTAGACTAAACGCCACAACCGTGGCGGTGGCGTCCAGCCCAGACGCCAGCCAACTGGTGGCGGCGTCTGCATCTGGCGCCACCACCGCCGGCTGGGCGTCCAGCCAGGGCGCCCCCCCCCCTTTTTTTTTTTTTTTTTTTTTTAAATTTTTCTAAAAAATTGTTTTTTGAATTTTTTTTTTTTTTTTTTTTTGTAATATAATTTTGAATTGTTTTTATATTTTGTTGTTTATTTTTATATATTTTTTCAATTACGTTGTATTTTTTCTACGTTTATATTTTGTTTACTATTATTTGTTTGTTTTTAGTGTATTTGATTTGCGATGATGATTATTTATCGTATAAATTTTTGTATGTTTATATATTTTAAAATTTTGTGTAGGGTCGTCATGGTGGGGGGAAGAATATAGAGCTTCTTAGTAGAAGTTATTCAGTGGAGAGGTCGGGGCATAGACATGTCAGATCACGTGGTATTTCGGCCTCAGTTCGTAGAGAACGGATCCACCGTCGGGATGAGGATGACGATGACGATGATGATGCTGAGGAGGGTGACCAGGAGGAGGAGCAGGAGGAGGGCGCAGATGAGGATGAGGATGTGGACGATGGCAGTGGACCGTATGATGATTACGGTCCATTCAGTCAGAGGGTTGATGACATGTACGAGACGCATATGGTGGAGGTGCGTAAGGGTAGGGGTGGTAGATTTGTTAGTAGATCTGGCACATCATCTGCGTCCACTGTCTCTGGGGCAAGCAGGAAACGGTCGAGGGCGGGTAATGATTCTTGGGTTGTTAGGAGTGAGGTGCCCGGTGGGCCTGTTGACGGGAGTGTGATTCCTAGCTTTCTAGGACACATAGCTGCCCGTATTTGGGAGGACCAGGAGAGGCCTTCAGTTACGGGGTTGTTGAAATGTCATACCCGGGAAAAGACTTGTAGTTTTTTGCGTACATGGGCTGAGGCCTGGCCGGCGGAGAGCGAGATGTTCGAGCGACTGGAGGGCACTGGGGTGAAGCACGTTCCTGCCACCATGCACGATAAGATTGACAGTACGCTGATCACGGCTTTCATTGAGCGATGGCAGCCGGATACAAACTCTTTTCACCTTCCGTTCGGTGAGATGACGATCATGTTACATGACGTCGAGGCCATTCTGGGGATTCGTGTTGAGGGTAAATGACTTTGTGCTGTGGCTGATGCGGATCAGGCAGATTCGCTGGCGGAGTTGTTGGCGGTGGACAGGGCTGCACTGTACACCGAGGCGCTAGGTGTTTGGGAACACGGAGGTGTGAAGATCGCATCTGTGTTGCAGCGGTGTTTGTACTCGAGTGCACGTAGGACGCCCGACGCACAGCTGAGTGCTTATGTTTTTCTACTCCTCGGATGTACCTTGTTTCCGGATAAGAGCGGCGGAAACAAGCTCAGGCCACGCGACATCGTAGAGGCGTGTGACCCCGACAGTGTAGGCCAGTTTTCCTGGGGATCGGCTACGTTGGCGTATTTGTATCGCCAACTAGGATTTGCGAGTCGGGCTGACGCGGCAGGTATCACTGGGTGTCTGACTCTATTGCAGACTTGGATATACGAGTATTTTCCTGCATTGCGACCACATCGTGACCCAGTTCCTATTGATGAGGGGATGCCGCGTGCTTGTGCGTGGAGTCCCCGCTCGGAGAAGAAGTCCGTTGACCGCCTCCGATCGATACGGTTATTGCTGGACAAGCTGTCCCCCTTAGAGGTAACGTTTATTTATAGAGTCTACATTTTATTATTTGCACATATTATATTCATGTTATTATATTTTATATGTTGTAATTGTACAGGTGAACTGGATGCCTTTCGGCCCGAACCCTAGTGTTAGGGTACCCAGGACCCTGTACACGGGACTCATTCAGTATCGTGACATCGTCGAAGCGTACATGCCCCAGCGATGTCTTCGCCAACTTGGATTTGTCCAAGTTGTCCCTCCTCCCCCGGCGTGCCCGATGAAGGCGGTCCGACCTGCATCGTCGAGGGAGTACGTCGTGGAATGGCCGGATATCATGACCGGGACGTGGGACCAGTTTCCGATGGTGGCTCGATTATGGACAGCGGAGTTGCAGCGGCCGCCCTCTGGGGTTACTCCCATGTGTGACCATTACTACATGGAATGGTTCAACCGGTATTCGCACCCGAGGTTGATCGCTGATCTCGACCACAGCGATGATGATTATGTGCCACCGCCTACTGCCACGGAAGCGGTATGTCTTTTATTATATTTATCGTTGTCTTTTAATTAAGTTTTATTTGTTGTTATTGTATTTCATCTTCTGTTTTTTGTTGTATGCAGTGGATGGGAAAGATAATGCAAGACGTTCAGAAACTCTCTCTTGAGAAGGACAGCATGAGTGCAACAGGGAGAGCTGTTGTTGATAGTCTGGAACATACCCTTGCGCAGTGGGAGTCGTCGTCGAGGAGGGATTACTGATGGTTATTGTATTTTATTTATAGAACATTATTTTGGACATTATGTTGTAAAATTGTAACATTTTAGATTGTTCTTTTAGCTTCCAACTTAAACATATTATCAGTGCTGTTTTTAAATTTTGATATAACCGTTCGTGGATCCGCGCAACTTACCCATGCAACATATAGAATGCAGTAAGCAATACAATATAAAATATTAATGTTCTCATTAAAAGAGCAACGTACAAATAAGATTACAAATAAAGAATGTAAACAAGAAAAACTAAAATGCAGCTAGGGTGTTCCATTCGTGGATCCGATCATTATATAGCGCATCCCAACCCTCTACGCTCGCTGTGCGAATGTTGTACCACCGAGGTATAATCGGTGGCACCGGAAAATCGGTTGACATGTCTAGTCGGATGAAATGTCTGTATGACGACCCAAGAAACGCAATAGCTAGCTCTCTGACCGGTGTGGTGACAGTCTCACGCGACCGCCAAGGGAGAACCGTGGTACAAGGATAATAAGCTTGACTATGCATTCCCAGGCCGAAATGCATGACTGCGCATTTGTAAATGTTTGCAACGGCAAACAGATCTAGGGGCGCGTCAAAATAATGATTTTCGCCGCAAGGTCCACCTCCCCACCGGATACGTCGGAGAGCGCCATCCAAGTCATCCTCGTACACATGACGATAAACATTTCGGTTAGAGGCAATTTCGCTGTACATCAACTCACGCACCAAACCGTAGTTGTCTTCGCCCATTTGAAAAACATCAGCCACGACCCGGAATCCGCAGTTACCATCTCCGATTACATCATTCCACCCTTCCACGTACGACATGATGATCGCAGGTATCCTTTCCTTGTACGGAAACTGATCAACATCGTTTCTTCCTATTCACCAAATAATTAATTATAGACAGTTAAGAAGACAGGAGTAACACTTTAAAACTATGTGCAATAAAAACAACCAAAACGTACCAGTTCTCAGGGGCATATTCACAGACGATGAAGATTGACTACGACTAGATGACGATGTCCGACCACGAGAACGACCACGACCATGGCCACGGATATACTCAAACGCACTCCTGTTCCGCCGCTGTCGACCTCGAGGACGGTCAACTCCTTCGGGTTCCTCATAATCTAAGTTAGACGGGTGGAACATGTCATGAAGCACATGAGTAGCGTCACGAATAATAGAAGGATGGCTGGAGGACACTCGGTCGTACATCGAACGGAACTGCTCCAACTCTTCCTGTTCACGGTCGGCCGTTTGATTGTCTGCATGCTCACCAATAACAAGCGTCCTCCAGAATGAATGGACCTGATCAACATGTAACGACGCCCTTTCTTCTGTAATAACGCGATGAATGGTGCATGCGCAAGGTAATCCATGAGTTACTGAAATAGTACACCCACACCGAGTATACACTTCGTCAGCCAAGTCCCTCACCCTGTTCAGCTCAGTGAGAATCAACCCCAAGCAGTAGTGCGACACACGACCATGGAGAATCTTAAATATAAAATGGCTATACATCGTACCATGTCGTCGTCTGGAGTCCTCTAGAGAGTTCCTGATGTCGTTCTTCTGAGTTTCAATTGACTTGTTCAGTCTAGCGAACAGTGTATCCAAAGCAGCGGTCGATGAATCAATCCAGTCCTTGGTAGCTCTATGAGCGCTCTCAACTCTACATGTTGTAGTGTTCCCAAAATGAAGTACCTGGTTTGTCCAATATTTGACAAACTTTTCCCTATGAGGGACCCATTGATGCATCACATAGTCCACC